AAGGGGGGGGGGGGGGGGGGGTCACATGAGGGTTGGAGAATTGTACCTAACACAAAATTTTCATTCCAGCCGTTCATCGCGCTCTCCAAATCTGCCAGCTCCCCGCGCGCTGCGGCAGACCTCGTGACCCGCGCAACCTCGGCCGCCAACACCTTTATTTTCACCGAGCTTCTCCAGACGCCTCAAATCCAGTCCCTAGCAAACTCCGACGAGTTCTTCCCCTACCTCACGCTCCTCCAAATTTTCAGCCATGGGACTTACGCAGATTACACTGCCAACGCCTCGACGCTTCCCACCCTCAACGACGAACAGAAGCTGAAGCTGCGCCAGCTCTCCCTCCTCACACTGGTCACCAACGATGGCAACGACATCGGCAGCGCTCCCGATGATGACGTCATGCAGCAAGAGCAGGAACAGGCGCAAGTACAGCCGAATCTAAGCTATGCCTCCCTGATCCGACACCTGGAGCTTTCCAGCGCTCGGGAGCTGGAAGAGCTCGTGATCAGCGCCATCTACGCTGGCCTTATCGAAGGTCAGCTAGACCCTGCGAACGAGATGGTACAGATAAACACCGTGGCCGCTCTGCGGGATGTGCCTGCGCGAGGCGTGGGCGGTCTGCTCTCGAGCTTGCAGGGCTGGGCGGGTCGGTGCGAAGCGACGCTGCAGGAGCTGGAAGCAACCATGGCCAACCTGCGGGAGGAGGCGGACAGGCGGGCGAGCGAGGAGCAGGAGTGGAACAACAAGATGTCGCAGTTGTTGGAAGATGAACAGAAGGGTGCGGTACCGTCCTCTTCTTCTTCGTCCTCTTTGCCCTGGTACAATAACAAACGCGGCGGTGGTGGTGATGGTGCAGGTGCCGGCGCCGGTCGTGGTGGGAGCTTTCGTGGTGGCGGCTCGTCCCAGGGGTACCGGTCATCCCAGAGAGGAAACTACCAGCAACAGCAAAATCAATCACGTCAGCAGCAAAGCCACCATCACCATCACCAAAACAATCAGAGCGGAACGAACAGCTTGCTGACGAGTGGTGGCGGCAGTTATCTCAGCTTCAGAGAGGGGCCATCAGCAGTATCGCCCTCACCAGCGGCGGGGTTAATGGGTTCCTTGGCCTCATACGCGACACTGGGGGGTATGGAGACAGGCTCGGGCTCGGGCTCGGCGGGGCCTCTTGGAAAGCGAGGCAGCAGCAATATGGATGACTCGGAAGAGGATATCGACGACGATACGATGGATCTGGATGACGAAGGTGATGATTCCAAGAGGGGCAGCAAGCGGAAGTTGGCCGCCTAGGAGGTTGAATTTCCCGAGCATGTCAGCACAAATCATGGAAGAGCGCCAGGTGCCGGTTATTGTTTTAATTGTATCGACCTAAAGTCTAAGGCCATGGCCGATGCCATACGAAGAAGATCAGGTATTAGTTAGTTTTCACAGTGAATGATGGCTGGAGAACCGGATAAACAGCTAGAAACATAGCATCATTACGATTCATATCGGGGGCCCCAAGTCCCAACAATAGAGAGCAAGCTTCACGACTGCGTTTTCAGATTATAACTACGAACTCCATGAATTGTAGTATTCAAGATCACAAGCAAACCAAATTACTCATATCCCCGAAGCACTTCAAGTGGTGGCTCCATTCAAATCGTGACTGACTACCAAGCCAGTCGCGTAGAAAGTAAATTGGACCCGTCGCAATCACCTAGTTCTAGCTTCCTCGTACCCCCATACCTTACCTGAGACTAGTGAAACCCCCCCCCCCCCCATCTTCTCCCTCGGAGGACTCAAATTCAACTACGACAGAGTCTAATGTGACTTCGTTTTCCGCTTGTCCCACTCCAACGAAAATTAATAAGCACAACTGCTTCTTCGCTGGCTGGATTGGACCAACCATCACTCTTGCTCAGATTCCTTACCAGCAGCCTCCCGTCCGGTGCCACGCCTAGCCAGACACTCATTCATCCATCCATTCATTGCACATGTGTAACTATGATGAAACCTAGTGAAAAGCGGACAAAGGGAAATTTGATTTGGTGAGCTGAGCCCAAAAAAAAAGTCTCGCTCGTAATCTAGTCAGTCTACCTGCCTGGTTTCTGGGGAGTCCGCAACAAGCTGAGCAGAAAGTGGTGTAGTGTAAATCGTGGAGGGAAAGCGGTTAGGTAGTGCAGTGGTGATGGCAGTACTAGGAAGGTACTTGTGGTATCTATCCAGAACTGACACGAGAGAACTCGAGGGATTCCATCTTTTCTCCCAGAAATCCGACACAGCAAAAACAACAGATAGCACACTCGCACAAGTTAATGTTCCGTACCCTTCTGGGGTTTCATCGGAAATCCTCCGGGGGGAAAGAAGCCAGACCATGAGTGAAACGCCTTCCCCCGCCGTCTCCATCACTGTCGTACCTTTCTTTCTTTACCTCAGAGGTACGACCTCTAAGAAGCCCGACCGACCATAGCCCAAACCAAGTTGGTTGCGCCGTCCGTCGTTGTCCCCATCCCATCCTCACTGCACTCTTGTAGTGGAGAGAGAGTGTTTAGTCCGATGTGAAAACAGTAAGCTTCATTTGTGTCATGACGTTCGTAAGAGTAACAAACAAGAAGAGTTCCCCGCTTTTGCCCGCCAAAGAGATATATCGCTTTTTTCCGTGTCAAGAAAACTCCGAAATAAAAGAAAACTCTTTGTTCTTCCCCCATCATCATCGTGGTGGAGAAGAGAATATGGCCGTTGTATAAACTTGCCCTCGTTCGGACTGAGACTGAAAAGAAATTGGTAGGTTAAAAAAGGTGGTCAAGAAGAGAAGAGATCTAAAAACAGATTACCGACATTCCACGCCTGGATTGATTAAGAGTGTAACTGGTTGCCTCAAAAAAAGATGATTACACGGCGTGGAATAGTCGAAAACCAGGGAAAGCCAGTTATCCCATTTTCCGTGTCGTCCTAGCTCCCATGGGTATTTGGTAAAAAATTAAGCAAACCAAAACGCCGAAGAAAACTGCCCATAACATCACTGCGTCTTTCCGTGTGTTACCAGGTCATAGTCGTTTTCCCGGTACGAGAATGAACAACACGCATAGCGCGGCGTCTATGACTGCAGTGACTGCGAGAACCACCATGGATCTCTGGGCGAGGAGTTTTCGGACGTATGGCTCCCGAACTCGGGAGAAGTTGAAAGGGGTATATTCGCTCAGTCCGACAAGAGCGAGAATGGGGTCGAGTGAGTACTGATATGAACAGAGACAGTAAACTCCAATGGTGAAAGGCAGGATAACCTATTAAACTGTTAGCAAAATAACCAAATTGTTGAACAGATGTGACTAGTCTGATTACATACCCAACACCTTGTTAGACGAGATTCGTCAAGGAAAATTAAAACGAAGGCGGTCCAGAAGCCGCCGAACATGGCCACGAGACCAACCATGAGGCGCAGCATTAATGTGGGGGGAATGAGGTTTCCGAGTGCCTTCATTCTAAGGAACCCGGGAAACGCATCCCTCTCCATGGCCTGGAACACATAATCCTTCGCCACGTCGAACACCTCCGGGTCATCGCGTCCGTAATCCTCAATCGCAGTCGTGACATCCGTAGTAATAGAGCCGGGAAGAGTGATCTCGCGTTCTGCGCCGGGGAGGAGGAAGGTGTAAAGAATCTTTTCGGCTGAGGCCCTGATATCGTCCCGCGCTACGGCATGCGCTGGGGAATTCGAATCCGTAGTGAGTTCGCGCTGGGTGCTGAGGTTGCTCGGACGACCACGGCGGTCGCTGCTGCTTTGCGGAGACTCCTGCACGATCGATCGATCCTCGCGCAGGAAGGCAGACATTTGCGCATCCTGATCCTTCTCCTTCTCGTTCCCCCACATAGACGGTCCTGCGACGGGGTTCAAATCTCCCATGCTCTCAAGGATGGCGGATGATCGTTTGGAGCTTCGGTCGGGCTCGGGGGTGCCGACAAGAACGGAGCGTCGCAATTCGCGAACATAGTGACGGCATAGTGACATGTGTTGGGCGACATCGAGCCTGTCTCGGGTCAGGAAGCTGCCATAGTCAAAAACACCGAGAAGTGAAAACCAACCAGAAATCGAGGTAGTCGACGGAGCGCTGCTGATCTCTCATATAAATGTAGAAGGAGAACAGATCGACGGGCGGGAGCGTCCGCCTGCTGAGGACCTCGAACAGGGTAGGGAGTCGATTTCGATTGAGGTCGGGTTGAGGGGAGGGCGTGTGTGCTATGGGTTCCGCCATTTTGACGGGAGGTGAACGGGACCTGAAACTCGAGCTGAATCCGACGGCGGAGGAGGGTGCGATATGATAATGGACGAAGAGCGAAAGGACGCCGGCGGAGTATGGTGTGGAGAGCGGGGCAAGAAAGCTGTATCGAGCTCCAAGGTAGGTTGTCCGAGGAGAGCAAGTTGTGGCGGGCAAGTGTTTCAATCAGTTGCGCGGTCGAGAGCGATAATGGTTTGACGTCAATCGAGTATTTCGCGAGTCACGGTTGCCGGGTGCACGAGAAAAAGGAGTTTGATTAATCGAGTACTTTTTTTTTTTTGATTTCTTGGCGATTCTGGTCTTTTTGGTTGTAAAGAACGTGGTTTGCGCGCAGCGCTGTCGGATAGATTGGTTTGATCCAAAGACGGCGATGGTTGCAAGTTGGAAGTTTGTTGGGTAGGTAACGAATGACAGGTTGAGAAGGTTGGGTGTGGTTGACGAGGCCGGGTCGGGTGCAGAGCAACGAGTGACGGGAATGGAATGACGGGAGGTGTGTGTTTGCGACGAAGGGGGACGGGGACTTCATGGAACTTGGGATGGGACGTCGTGGTGAACAAACAGGCTTTGCAAGGCCCACCCGTCCCTGCGCAGGCTCATCAGGCACTGGAGACAAGACTGACAGGGCGTGGACAGGCCAGCAGGGGAAGATCGCAAGTGGAAAGCATGGAACAGCAATTGACAAAGTTCGCAATGGAAGGTGCACTTGCTGCAACAGCAGTCTCCCTGGCGAACATGGCAGGGAGATTGCAGAAGTCACTCGGAAATTGAAAGTTTGGGTGACGGACAGGAAGCGGTACGCCAGCTGTCGAAGGCTTGGCAGATGCCAGAAATGGTGGGGGCTTGACTGTGCCAGCTGCCCTTCCGTTTAGGGTAAGGTAAGCGAGGCGAGTTGAGCCCAGGTCCGCACTTTCCAGATTTCGTGGAAAAATCCGGTGCAAAATTCATTGGGAGGTTTATCGTTTGCCGCAGCACCCAACGACTTCGACGACTCTCACCCGACCACGAGTGTACGAGACACCGCCATCTCCAAAGTACGTAACTACGGCCCCTCATATTTTTGCCCTGCCCAATTTCGAGTCAGCCGTCCCGTCAGTTCTCGAGACACGGTCCGGCTTCGCGAAACCCCTCCTTTGCTAACAAGCTGTCCAGAATGTCGTCCAAGAAGCCTTCCGGTAAGACCCAGCGTTCGGCCATCGCCGACGTTGTCGCCCGCGAGTACACCATCCACATGCACAAGCGCGTAAGCAATACCGAACAATCGACCAGACGAACAAGGACGAAATATTGACCCTGGCGCAGATGCACGGTGTCACTTTCAAGAAGAGGGCTCCTCGCGCCATCAAGGAGATCAAGGAGTTCGCTTACAAGGCGATGGTACGTGCAGCGACGAACACCCGAACACACAATCCGATCTGGAGGAACTGGAGACCTATGGAGACGACGACATTAGAGTTGGGGACACAGCGTGGTCAGTTTGAACGAACACCAAGACTGACATGACTGTGATTTATAGGGTACCACCGATGTCCGCATCGACCCCCAGTTGAACAAGAAGGTCTGGGAGCAGGGTGTCAAGGGCGTTGCCTACCGTCTCCGCGTCCGCATCTCCCGCCGCCGTAACGACGAGGAGGGCGCCAAGGAGAAGCTCTACAGCTACGTCCAGGCCGTCAACGTGAAGAACCCCAAGGGTCTCCACACCGTTGTCGTTGAGGAGTAAATTTGGGTGTTCTGGCAAAACGAATTTTTGGCACGAAGGGACCGCGGTTCAGGTTCAGGGCGGCATTGGGCTTCCGGAGTTTTCGCATGGCATCTAGCTTCGCATTACGAATAAAGGGTTCGTAAAATGGAACACGGCACCTTCGATACCACCAAACCGCCTCCAGCAACGATGAGGGAAGACAATCGCAGAGTGTGAGGGCGTCGCAAACGGTCAGGCAGGGGCTTCATCATGAAAATGATACGCTCTACGGACGATATACTGTCCATTACAACCAATGCTTGATGTACTTCATAAAACCAGTCTGCAACCGGTAGCAGACGCGAGCAACAACGGGATACCCATTAAACAAACCCGCCCTGATAATGCAATCCTGTTCCAGAGACCAATACGCCAGGGATTCCAAACCTTCAGAATGAACCAATTTCTCCTAACCCAATGCTCTCCTAAACTGCTCCTGCTTTTCTCCTTCAGTCGTCGTCAATGTCCTTGTGACGGTCCATGACCTTGGTCTTGAACAGAGTCGGATCCTTGTCCCAAAGCTCGGCCGCCTCGCCGTTGAGAGGGGAAGCGCTGTGATATGTGTTAGCTTTAACCTGCTAAATGTGAGTGACAGAGCATGTGAATTCCTTACTTGTTCGGCTCTCCGAGCAGGGATTGCAAGCTCAGCAGGACAGTCTGAGTGTTGTAAGCAGCAGTCCACTTATCCTTGAGGATGTCGAGACAAATGCGTCCAGAGAAGTCCACGTTGGGATGGTAGATCGGGGTTCTGAACAGCACCGTAGGCGGGGCGTAAGGATAGTTCGCAGGAAATTCAAAACTGAGCTTCAAGGTGAGGCCGGCGTAGGGGGTCTCATCAGGTCCCTCGATAGTAGCCCGCCACGAAAGGAGATTGCCGTCAGCAGAGGGGAAGGCAGACACGCCCGGTGCCGGCGATGTCATCAGCTGCATAAGCTCCGTCTGCAGTCTATTTGTGGCCATCAATAGTCAGCAACTAAAACATCAACATCGCGATTGTCTAGCAACATGCGCAATCTCAGTGACAAGTAGACTGACCTCTTGACGGCATTTTGACCGGGATCGACGTTCTTCCTGGCACCGAGGGTGGGCGCAGAATTCTGAATACCACTCATGTTTGCTGTAGGATAATCCAATCTGTGACGGCGAACTGGAAAATAGGCGAACAAGCCAATAGCGCAGGACAAAGAAGACCAATATCTAGCGGATATTTGAGTACAAAAGTCAGGAAAGGTACTAAGGGAAACAAGTTAATAAAGACTTTTGGACGGCAAGGTGAAGGGAAATGTACCTGTGCAATCAAGGAGGGACGGTCCAACCTTGGGAGGTGTATGAGGTTGAGATGGGAGGCGCAAAGAACAAAATGAAGTTTGGCAGTTGACGCCAAGCTTGGAGGGACGGGACTGACGAGATGGAATCAAAGAATCAATTGTTTACACGATGCAGAACGGACCAGCCTCTAATGACCCCACAGCTGACCAGGTTACCGCGGGAGGGTCCCAGCAACCGTGATGGGCCCGAGCGTTGCTGTCAGGGGAAAGTTTAAAGGGCATGCATGAACTTCTTTGCGGGTTCCCAGGCCGCAAAGGCAGTCGCGGCGCGTGAAAAGAGTGGACAGTTTCGCGCTCCTTCAAACGTTTCCCGAATCCCCTTTCTCAACCCAAACAAACCGGGGCACTGGACACATCACATTGTCAACACCCGCCTGCATTTGCACGTGAAGTTTGTATGACACCCACCATACTGTAGCAGGTCTCATTAGCTGATGAGTAGAGGAGTTTAAAGGAAGCCTGAACACGCGCCCCTCTCCCTCTGCCACGCTCTTGGCATCCACCTTTTTTGTTGCTCATCGAAATGGTGAGCGCTTTCAACCTCCACTCTACATCTCGACTTGCGCTTTTCCTATTTAGGAACTTTGTTTTGGTTTGATAATTCTGGCCAGCTCTCGCCACCTGCTTGCGCCAGGCATCAGCCCAACACTTACAAACCAACTACCCAACGACCAGTCATTGATGAAGCACACATTCAATTGTCGATTGCGCAACAACCGACGAAAATCATTCCTTTAAAGCTTCAAACTCTCTTCATATCCCGCACAATTTTTGTCTGCCTTACTTGTACTTTAATCATCGTAATCTTAATCGGCGTCCGTTATTGACGGCAAAATGCAACAGTCACAACTGGACCCTCTTCCTTCAGATCTCCCTTTTCGCATCATCTCCAAGACCATCGGACGGGGAGCATACGCCTCGTGAGTGCTTCTGCCCCTAACCCATTATTCTGATGCTCTTCCGCTGACCGAATGTCTCAGAATAAAAAAGGCGATACCCGTAGATGCGCCCTCGCCGGTATTTGCCGTAAAGCTCATTCACAAGGACTATGCCGTAAGACATGGCAGAATATCGGCAAAGCAGATCGCCATGGAGGTTTCACTACACTCACACATTGGCCAGCATCCAAATGTGATCGAGTGGTTCGCTACTGGCGAAGACAGGATCTGGAGGTGGATTGCCATGGAGTACGCTGAGGGAGGTGACCTTTTCGACAAGATAGAGGCAGATGTTGGCCTGGAGGAAGATATTGCTCACCTCACTTTCATCAACTGATAAGCGGCGTCAGTTTTATGCATTCGAAAGGCGTCGCTCATCGCGACCTCAAACCCGAGAACATCCTCCTCTCCGAGAGCGGCATCCTCAAAATCGCGGATTTTGGTATGGCCACTATGTTCGAATACAAGGGTGCACGAAAACAGAGTTCGACCATGTGCGGGAGCCCGCCCTACATCGCCCCGGAAGTTCTACATTGCGCCAGGCAGAGGGAACGAAGGGCACCATCGTCCGAGCAGACCAAGTACTCGGCCGATCTCGTCGATATCTGGTCATGCGGCGTCATCCTCTTCGTCCTCCTGGTCGGCAACACCCCCTGGGACGAGCCAACTAATGGTAACTGGGAGTTCAAAGAATATGTCCGCACCAGCGGCCGGAGCACCGACCCTCTCTGGCAACGGGTGCCCTCCGACGCGCTCTCGCTCCTCCGGGGCATGATAAACATTGAAGCCAACAAGCGCTTCTCCTTCACCCAGATCCGCCAACACCCCTGGTACACGCGACACAACCCGCTGCTGAACGCCGAAGGCATGGTTATTGACCCCATCGCGCTCGCCGCCCAAATGCTCGCCCGTCTGCGCATCGACCTCCGCGCCGCCGTCTTCCAACCGCCACCTGCCTCCCAGCCCGAGCCCGCCATCGAGAGCGACTGGTCTAGCAAGGTCCTCTCCGCAACGCAACCCGAGACCCCGATAAACGACGCCCTCTTCGACTGGGAGCGCCCAGCCCCGCGCACGCTCGGCTCCTGCGCCATCTCCTCCACCCAGCCGGTCGCGCGTAACGACGCCGCGGCCGTCAACCTGACCGCCACCGGGCCCCGCACGACCATGACGACCATGATGACACCCACCAGCATTCCCAGCAGCACACAAGGCAAGGGCAGAGTTCCCTACTCCTCCGCCCTCGAGGCCCTAGCGGATGAGCCGGCCATGAGCCAGTTCTCTGCCGCGCCCGGCGTCCCGCTCTCCCTGACGCAGCACGCCCGCCGCTTCCGCGACATCGTGCCCTCGTACTCGCTCACGCGCTTCTTCTCGCACGTGCCGACGCAGCTACTGGTGCAGATGTTACGGGATGCGCTGCACCAGCTCAACGTACCGCTGCCGCCGACGTCGCCCAATGTCTCGTTTGAGAATGGGGATGTGGATCACATTGTTACGCTGAAGATCAAGACGGTGGATGGAAGACGGCAGAGTTTGCATGGAGATATCTTGGTTGATAGGTATCATTTGGTGAATGGGAATGGGATGTCGTTGACGCAGTATGGTGATGGTGGTGGTGGTGGGATGGATGTGGATGAGGAGTTGCCGGAGTTGTTGGAGGTGAGGTTCGTGAAAATCAAGGGCGACCCGTTGGAGTGGAGAAGGTTCTTCAAGAAGGTTGCTGTGCTCTGTCGGGATGGGATTTGGAGTAATAATGATTGAGAGAGGCTGAAAGGAAGGATGAACTGGGATGGCGAATATGGAAGGAAGGAGAGAGATGAGCCTTCTGGATTATGGGGGTGATGGTTACGTGCCTACACTTCATGTTCTGGATCTTGCTGAATTGGAGAGCGATTCTTGCATTACAAATTTTGTTGCTTGGTGTTGTGGTGTCTTACGTGCTCCATTGGGAATCTGTTAGCCTTGTGGCATGTTAAGCGTTTTGTACATGTAGAAGAAGAAGAGTTAAGAGAGCTGGGGCCAAGAACATTACTGAGTTGCCTCCTTCACGAACATCGAAGATATGAGAAAATGGTTGATGATCGTTGAACAGTCGCCAAAAGCCTAGATCTAGTGTATTAACCAGTCTGCCAGTTCTTCAAACGAACAACTTCTAGTCTACCGTAGGAGCGAAATTCATCCATGCTCATTACATATGTACACGTATTCCTGCTGATCCTGCCTAAAAGAGCTTGAGGTTTTGCCTTGCCCTGCGTTACCCCTCTTGAGCAACGTGATCAACACTGGAAGAGAAGAAAATGAAACCCGAATAACATGCCCGTCTGACGCCCGCTGCCTAACTATCGTCTTGTGACTCCGTCGCAATGCCGCTGAATGAACTATGTATAGTGATGGTGTTGTTGGAGGTTGTTTTTATGTACTCCTCCATAGTTTGCTGTGATTTGATTCGAGATGCTATGAGATTCCCCTCTTGAAAACTTTCCCGATCTTCTTTTTCCTTTTGATGTTCATGAGTATGTATAATATAATTCAAATGACTTCCAGGCCTTTTACGAGACTGGGGGCCATCAACTGAAACGTATAAACGAACCCCTTTCCTCGACAGTACAGAAAGATGGAACAGGGACAGACTGGATCCACCAGCTGGCATTGCTGGTGTTGCTGCTGACAACGCTGTTACTCCTGTTGCCGCGGTAGTAATCCTCATGGACGGCTGTATGCGAACTACCACTGCTAGGAGTAATACTGTGACTCCTAATATCGACGGTCGTCGCATGATCCCTTCGTTGCTCCATAATCCCCGAGCACGGGTAAAAGCTGTGCTCCCTCTGTTCGAACCGTCCACAGCCGTGGGACCTGTTGCTGTTATGGTGTTGTCCCCCTATCCGAAACCGCTCCAAGTCTGCTTCCGCCTCGCTCAAGTAGAGAGCACTCTCCGGGCCCGCCCAGTCGTCAACCAGTTTTGCAATGGTAAGAAACCCCTTGGTGTGTCCGCCACACTCCCTCGCTCGGAACCCGCGACAGATAAACAGGTAACTGTGAATCAGCTCATGAAGGAACGTCGAAATGAGCAGTCGTCGGCTGTACTTTGAGTGTTTGAGTATAGGCGCCGATAGCACTATGAGCGTTTCAAACCCCCTCGTAGTCGGATGTGCCCTTCGCAAAGCAGTTGTCCCGATGACCCGGCTGTCGTACCGCGTGCTTGACTCGTCTGACCAGTCCCAACGTACCCGCTGGCTCAGACGGCCGTTGAAGAAGATCTCGTTGGCGGCGGAGAAGATACTTTCGAGGGAGTCGTTGTCCAGTTCGTCTTCGGCGTTTATCCGTGGGTTGATGATGCTCCGGAGGATGCGCTCGTGCTTGGAGTCGGGAAACTTGCGTCGGAAGTTGACCATGTGAGCCCTGACCCTCTCTGCTGCTATGTCATCCTCTAATAACTCGGTGCCGCCGCCGGGACCTGCTGGAGTTGGTTCGGCTCTGATCGAGTGGCCTGATGCAGTTCTCTCCATGGAACATGAGCTTGGTTCTGGGGACCGGGAGCGTGGTTGTGTTTGCTGGTGGTGCGCATGGTGGTGGTGGTGGTGGTGGTGGTGCTGCTGCTGCTGCTGCTGCTGATGGTATGGCGCTGCATGAAAGTGAACCTGATGCCGGTATTGTTGATCTTGAACGCCCCGAGCGGCCATGAACCTTATATCCTCTCCACGTCCTTCCTGAACAGGTTGTTGTTGATGGTAATGATGATGTTGCGACCAACTCCCAACTCCGTGTCCCACAATATCCCTGTGCACATCCTGAGAAGATCTGTATCTCTTATGTCTTGAACCGTCGTCGTCGAAGTTGTGGTCGTCGAAATCGGCAGTCCGGCGCTTGACCGGGAAAGGAGGGACGGTACAGGAACGGATAGGCGGGTACTCATCCCCGCCATACATCGGGAAGGCCATCGGACATACTCGGCGGATAAAGAGGGTGAGACGGAAGTAGAAGGGGAGAAAGTGTAATTTTCCCTTTTATTCGGTATAGAAAACCCGAAAGTAGAAAAGAAAAGTTCCCTAGGAAAAAGCAAAGCTGAAGTGAAGCAAACAGGTGGTGTGACAAGGGGAAATAAGGTGGTGCGGCATGTATATAAAGCATATAAGAGGAGCTGAGCCGGTTTCGCCTTTCCCAGGGAGACCCAGACTGGGAGTGCCGATTACACAAAACAACTTGAAGCGGAACCGGGTTTCGCAAGTACTGGATCGGTGTCGGTGACACACACCAGACTGAGAAGGAAGGCCGTAAAGGTACCTAACAAGAAGATCCAGCAGGAGCCGATGCGGTCCATCCAGTGCCACTTGACACCAACGTACGTACAACGAACGGCAATGAGAGCCGGACCCTTCGATGCTTTGGACCTAACGAGATCCGCCGCCTCACTTGGCGGTCATCCAGTGGGCGGTCGTTCTTGGGACGGTCCATATCCCGGCCCCGTCCCGGGGATGGGCATCGAAAGGGCTCCAGAAATTCAGAGGTCCTTCACCGGGTAAGCCCATCACTTTAGTGGTCCTCCATTGAACACGCAGTACCTAATTGTAAACCAAATGCACCTTGATGGGCGCCTAAGAACGAGCTTGAACCGCATTGGCGTGGCCCCATATCACGTTTGAAGATCTGGATGCCGCCCAACGTCCACTTGGGTATCTGGGGCGAGAGTGAGACGAGGAAATGATGATCATAAAAGTGGAAGGCTTGGAACCAGACCATGGATACCAGCAAACACAGAAACGTATAAAAAGTAAAGATAAAGAATGTTGAAAAATGAGGGATGCCCCCCCTCCCCCCCAAACATTCAAGCGGTCAACAAAACGGAAGTGTTCCCGTCACAAACCCGACAAGAATGCAACTTGAACAAAGCTGGCGGAGAAAATATTCCAAGACACCAAGAAAAAGGACATCCGAAGGAAGCAAGCAAACCAGCCCAGCCCCAGACACACATCGCAGTAGGGTAGCATCCGAACGGATACAGTGGCTGTCCTCCTCCATACCCACTCTGCCCTGTCATTCATCAAGCACTCATTCAGTACCGACGTACAGGACCCGTCACTTCTTCCCTCGTGCATCATCATGCCTCAATCACCACGGCCCACGCTGCTGTACACGCATATCAAAGCACGCCGTTCTCAAGAGCGGCAGCGATCCTTACCACACTGAATGGCATGCAGCAGAAAACTTGTATGTAGTGTACAGCGTCAGCGAACAGCGAACGAACAACGAAACATCATAAAGGGTCAGCAGGTGTTTCAAGTTTTTTTCTGTCCAATCCGCCCGGAGATGGAAGCTTGGGGAAGAAGAAGAAGAACAACGAGAAGAAGACAAGAATTGAATATTCCATATCCCCTCTCCTTCCCAGCCATTCTTCTTCTTCTGGTTCCCCCTTCCGGCCATCGGCTTATCTCAAGGGTAATAATCATGTAACACACAAACAAACCAGTCGACCCGAGCAAAGGGATAGATAGGTAGGTAGAAGCAACCTGAAGTCCCAACAGAACTGCCATGGCCCATGGGATCTATGAGCGAGGTGTCATTCAGCCCAAAGCGGTGTGCCGAGCTGAAGAGAAAGGTGCCGCTCGTGACTTGTCGAAACCCCTACCTACCTACCTACCTACCTACCTACCTACCTACCAGTACGAGTGCCATCTAGATGGATGAACCACTAGTTTCTATTTCCAAACCATTTCCGGGATCGACTTGTAAAAAGCCGACTTTGTGAGTCCCTTCTTTATTGACACCGCTCGGTATGACCAGAATGGGTAATCCATTTATGATGGGGTCAGGTCTCCATAGGGTCATGGCTAGAACTCCCGTCCCCAGGGTTGAGCTCCACCACCGAACGGGCGCCGGACATCGGCGTTTGAAAGAAGCCAAAGCGACATACCTAGAAACCTAGCATCGATCGCGATGATGCAGTCATCGGAGTCACGGGTGACTGTTTTGCTAGCGGTGCTAGTTCTAGCGGACAAAACAGGGGGAAACAACCACGATGATGAAAAGGTGTCCGGCCCATCGCTAAAACTCTTGTACTTTTAATAAAGGTTCCAGAGTGGTGGTGATAGTGTAGAGGTAGTTTTGTGCACTGACGGGATAGGATCTACGGGGGCACCGGGGGGCCGGGGGCACGACGGACAAGTGTCAAAAGCGGACTTCCTTTTACATGCATGCCGTTCCACAACGAACCCCCGCAGTCTTGTTACTGTAGTGGCTTGTGCAAGGGCCCGGGACCGGACATCAGGCCAACGTTCGGGTTCTGGATGGCCCTGAATTGGAGTTCAAGATAACTTTGGATCGATGGCGCAGTTGCTGACCTCAGATTTCATCAAAATCTCAGAATATCGAATTCGTTCGTTCAGTGGTAAAAGGTGGCAGGATGGTTGTTCCCTTCAGATATAGCTAGCCATTCAGACTTCCTTGCGATTGGTGCGGGCTGGCTTGCTATGACTTGCTTCTCGTTACCATTGGCCGCCTTGCTTTTACATTATCGGCATTCCGTCCCTATCACACGCTTTTTCTCTTCTCACTCAAACTCAACTTGGGGCTGACGACATCTTCCGAGTACCGTACATAGTACCTTGTCGGTTTGCACAAGGCGGTCCGAAACACGATGATGAGACAAAATGGGTCGCGTTGTTTAAACTTAAAATTGCTTCCTTATGCCGGCCGGGCGGGTATCCAAGGAAAACGACTACAACCATCCTTACTGATTATATCCATCTTCATGGCCCATTCTCGAGAGTCTGGGGGGGCATGAAATGGAATACAGGACCAATGAATTCTTCGCCAACCCTTCCTTTGGGGATCTCTCTTACTATCGAACCAAGCGGTATCCGCTACAGAATTTCCAACCCCATCAAAGGACCACCCGTCGTCGTCGTCAAGAGTCAATTATCCCAGTTCATCTTGATAGGGAACAGACATTGTATCCACCTTCGGTATGATGTTGCTGCCACCATTATCGGAGCACAGCATACTCATTTCTCGAGACAAATGGTAACCAAAAAGATGGGCGGGTGATCAGCGCAAGGAACCGTTACCGAGGCCGAAGTGCCTGGTAAACATGACGTCGTCAGCATGTCTCTGCAATGCGCGACGCATTGTTTCAGTGTAATCTCTCTCCTCCCGCTCTTGTGCCCGCGTCTCGTTATTGACAGCCTCAACTTCCTCCTCGAACTCCTCAACCGTAAACCCCGGGCGCGCACTGAAGTTCAACAATCCCAACCTCTCACCCGTCCAAAACAGCAGGTCATTGTCGTTAATCTTATCCTTGGCTTCGCCTGCCCGTGTTGGGAGTAGTTTTCTGGCTATGTCCGAGGAGCCCGGCATTGAAGCGAAGATAGAAGGCCCCTGTGCCTGTTCGCTGTGCCCGATCCTACACCGGCGGACCTCGGTGAAGCAGTCCCTTTCGAACCATTTTATGTAACCGGATCCGTCCGAGAACACAACTCGGGTACCATGGTTAGCAACCGAAAGAACCTTTGACCCTGACGCTGACTGCCGGTTCTGGTACGCAAAGTCATCCAAGTCTCCCATCAAAGTTTTATCAGAGTCTGGTGGCGCTAGGCCATAAATCTCTAGGGATCCCTTCATGTTGTAGTCTCCACCGGCGATCAAAGTCCTGCCGCCTTGGACACTCTTCGATGCCTCGACTTCCTCCAGTGTGAGCTCTCCTTTCCGTCGGAGTTCGCTGTGTCGCTTAGAGAAGGGGAATGGGAGAGATGTCATGCTGCATAGCCTTGCTTTCGAGTTGATCGATCCTCTGATTCTTGACAGATTACGTCTGTCATAATGTAGGATGTGGGAGAACCGACCAGCAACGTATATATCGTCTGACAACTCTGCTTGTTGGCCCGGTCGCGGGACATGTAGGATACTCAATGGCCCCGGTTGTGCGAGTGACGTCCAGGAGCCAGCCGGCTCATCGCTGAAGATGTTCCTGATCCCACGTTCGTACCTCGCCTGGGCGTCGGTAAGGTTGAAGTCGACCTGGTCGTCTTCGGGAGCATTTCGAAACCGTCGCCGAGAACGATAATCGTGCAGGTGGAGTTCCAGATTTGTTCCAACGGTGAGTGGTACCCTAGGATCTGCCGAAGATAAAGCTGTAATGGACCAAGGGAACGATTCGAAATCAACAACCGAGAGTCTTTGCAAATCAACTTCGATAATGTCTGTTCCCGGGGAGAGGCACAGCCGGGCTGGAGTTAGCACACTGATAATAGCACAATACGTTCAACTAAAACGATCGTGGGATGATGACTTACGATTCTGAACTGCGAAAAAGGCCCGATGAAGGCTGCTGTCAACGCTGACACATTCTGTAACGCCCGAGTCCACCCGTTGCGACCGCTTGCTGTTATCTGCTCCTGGCCCGTTTATGAGAAGAAGTCCGGGCGCGCTCGTGGCCAAAATCGCACCCTTTCGACCTCTTGTCCCGTTGACGTCCCAGATACAGACACTACCATCGTCTAACGGCGAGACAGCTAGGAGTGTTTCATCAGCAGCTGACCGCGCTCCCCCCTCGAAGCCCTGTTCAATACGGGGACTGTCAGGTCGGTATAGGGCAACACCTCTTGCTTCAACATATTCGGACTTGGCGCCACGGGCATGGGGCAGCGGAAGCCAATTGATGGCAACAGGCGCATGACGCTGAATGTACTCCTCATACCAGGAAACCCTCTCGGTAGGAAAGCAAGGATCCCAGTTCGCCATGATCCGCATTTGTTCCTTCTTGCTGGACGCACGAAAGCTCTTTAGGATTGTTGGCGTTGTCAGTGTCGCCCAGCTTCCACTGCCAGGAGTGTTGGTGCTGCTGCTATCGGGAGAGGGATACGCATCTTGCCAGATCGTCCCCGTTGCGCTTCCATCATGCTGCATATGAAATGTTTCGCCGAGCCCCTGGGTAGCTAGCCGGCCAAAGGCCCGTCGTCGTTCGAGGCTTTCGAGAAACGAGGATTGTTGCAGGCATCGTGAACGCCAAAAGCTATTGTCTCGTGCAAGGTCTCTAAAAGCGCGGGATACCAGTTGCAAATTCGTAATATGCGGTGCTTCGAGGACTACCAAGCAACGGACAACTTGTCAGTTATACTTCTGACTCACAATTTAGGTGATTGAGCTAAGTAGAAGGTCTTTGTGGGCTACACTGGGTTGGAGGTCTGGGGAATTGGGATATTGTAGGTTCCAATTCGACTTACACGACAGTATGTGGAGTTTGATCTCATTAGGAAAGCTCTCGAGGCTCGGCGCCTGCGGAGTAGCAGTAGCCGCCGTCATCTGATTTTGTCCATCTCCCATTGTCGGATTATTTTGTGGGGTATCTTTGCTGTTGCTGTCGACTCGAGAACTTTGTCTGACTTGTGACGCCTGTCCCAGCCACTCAGTCCAAGCTCCCCTGAGCTATGGGTTTGGCATCGAAAGTGTGTGGATAGCAATGCTGCTGGAAGCCTATTGTATAGTAGCTTAATCGTGATGTCGGGTATCGATAAGGACGGGATTGTAATTTAGCGAACGAGGACCGGTCGAGTCATGGTTACTGAGAGAACAGACGATGTCGTATATCAATATACGGAAAACGAATGGCCAGCTCGCAAAAAGAGTCTGTCGAAACACAAAATAATCAGACACAACAAGCTCTTGTGTCGGTTGCTGTGTGCGAGCGCGCCTGCGGGGGGTGCGTTTATGCGGTGCCTCTGCGTGTGCGTGTGTGATGCGATGTGTGGAAGCTTCACGAATGTTGCTTTGGGATCAGTTGGATTGGTGCAAGTTCCCTTGATGCAATCCGCAGGTGGGTGATGGTTTCCAGTTGTAACTTTGTGGATGGGTTCAGGTGTCACCGGGACCGGGGGGCGGGTGCCCTCCGCTGCCTGTGAAGTCAAGACTGCCCTATTGGGTTAGGGGTTACGGTAGCTATTATGGGGGTCGGGGTGCCGATCGCGATGACAACCACGCCACGCCCACCGGCGAAGTGAGGTCGACCACTGGGCGTCCAGTTCCGGGCATGCTGCGCCCCCATCGGCCGAAACCTTACCCCACCAGAATGCCGAAACACGGGGCACAGACAGACCCCTTTGGACGGTTCTAACAATCAACCAAACGGTCGGTTGACTGCGGGTGAAGAGCTGAGGGTGAAAGGGCCTGGTGGGGTTGGCCTGGCCCTCCTCGTCTTGGTTCCCCTGACTTTTCTCCGATAAGTTACTGGCTTTACGATAACTAGCCGTGTGTGGGTCGGGGTTGGAAAATGGATTCAGCTTCAACCAATGGGATCACATCTGTGATGCAACTTCGATAAAACCACGCCCTTACACGAGCGCCATGGGCTTTGCATGGACCGGTCTAGACCACTAGAGCCTCTTCCTAACGACACTCGATGTATGTTCACCCGACCCGTCCAAGTTGCTCCATATCCAGAGCTTAGAAACCAGCACATCCACCGTTATGGGCTGGGAAAGGGTTGAGAATCTGAGACATGACCGCATGGTATCATAGCATCTGCCGGTGGAAGATTCTACAACCAGTCTGGTCTTACAGACTACACCAGTGCCATGACGGGCGTGATGGCTTTTCTGATGCTACCAGAGCCATCTACCAGATGATGTCCGCTGCTGATGAACCACTCTTTGGAACTCCTCATACTTCTTCTTTTTTTTATCGCGTTTCATTTCTTCTACCGCTGGGAACCATGTGGGGAAAACATGGAAACATACAGTGGAGTGTCCAAGTGTCGATGGCATAGGAGCTCAGGGGCAGCAACTTGAACATATATCGATGAAGTCTTGTGTCTAAATACTGTGGAAGTTGGTTGGGGCTTCCCTGGTGATGATTGATTGCATGTATTATAGTGTGCTCTGTGGTATACACCTCCTCTTGGTAATTTCTGACACAGATTCTGGCGACTACAATAGCCTGCATCACAAAGACACTCGCGTTTCATTCTTCAGGAAACGAGTATCTCTTGGAGACCCGCGGGGGAAGAACATGGTTTTTGACTTGATGAAACACTGAGAGTGTTTGTGCCAGAATTATGTAGCCAGTGATGGGGTAACAAGAGGCTTCCTTGACCAACGTTCGTCGATGCCCACTGTATGTGACATATATGAATTGAATTCTTCATACGAAGCTCTCTAACTCGAGGAATTCTGAGTTTGTGTCTTGTCTGAATGGATCAAAAGTGCCCTGACTACTCGACATCGAAACTTGACGGATCTACATGCTTACCCAGACCACTTCACGACACACCCAAGGTTCGGACTGACCAGAAACATTGGGAAGTCAGTCTATGCCATCCAGTGCTCTCTGCCATTGTGTTGACGTTCCAAGTCCGCAGCTCTTTGTGGTGGTGCTTTTCGTCGTGATCCGCTGTGTCTCCATCTCAGTTGGCCTGAATGTTTACAATGAACAACACCACTTTCAGATCTTTATGTCTATCTCCCACATCGCACAACCTGCCCACTAGCGTCTTCCCCTTTTCCAAGTTTACTTCAGCTTTGAGGCATCGTCCTTATTGAGGACCGAATCTGCTGCTTGACTGTGGTCCCGAGCGAGCTGTGTAAATGGCAAGGCTTACCCAGCGCATGAATGCGATCAATATAAGAAATGCCAGCATGCCCCCCTGCGTACGCACCGGTCGACCTTCAACTACTGTAACGCTCAGTTGCAACAAGATGAAAGGTCGAGGAACCCCGTCGTGGTCCGCCAGAGTGACTTGCGGATTGCACCTTTGTCCTCTTCGCGGCTTTGGCAGCGCGCTCCTTCCATCGTTCGCTCTTCCCAGCGCGTTCAACCCCTAACGCGTAACCCTAACCGCGCTCCTTCCTTCTCAGAACACCCAACCAGTGCGCCTTCCTCTCAGGAGCGCGCGTACCTTCCACTTGAGCAGGTTTCCGCAACGCGCCTTCCCAAAATTCTACAAAATATTCCTTGGTCGAGCCCGACCGGAGCAGTGCCCAAGGCCTTCCGCCAGGTTTGGCCCTCTCCTCCCAACTCTTCTACTTTACAACAACTTCGCAAGAACGACTCATCATCAACTGCAACGCATTTTGTCTGTACCAACGCTCTCAATCATCGCAAGAACCATCCAAGCACGCTGCAAAGCATTTTCTGCTCAAACTCCATTTTCAAACAATTATCTGCAACCAAGCCGCTCAACCGCACTTGTCATTCATGCTCTCGACTCTTCGAACTTGCTTCAACATCATCCGCACAATCATCACAATGACGACTACCAACTTTGGCGCTTTCACCAGCCTCCTCAACGGAAAGCATCAAACCAACGAGCTTTCCATCAACAGCATGCCCGCTTCAGTCAAGTCTGCAGGCTCGACCGGGTCGTCGCTGCCCAGAGAGCGCTCCATCACTCCGAGACACGTCTTCACCAGTCTCGACGAGGCCCATCAAGCCATCACCACCAAGGCCACAAAGCAAGCCGCGCACTCCATTGCCAACGGCGCTCAGCCTGGCTCAATCCCTTGCGAGTCATCAGCTGGCTCTTCTGTCGATGCCGTCTACTCCAACTCAACCACCAACACCGACGAGCATCCTGCCATCGAGTCACACCACTGCCCGAGGCATGATGGCTTCTCCCGCGGACGTCGCATCAGTCCTACCCACTTGCGTCGCCACTCATCCAGTCTTCCCAGCTTCAGCACTCGTGCCCCTCACTACCCTGGCTGGGACGAGATGACTCCGGCCGCTCGCGCCCATTTGCACGCTGAAAAGGATCATGTTGACGACAACACTCCTGACAACTCGATCAACACACCTCGCGAGACTGGAAGCACCGTTGAAAACATCGTGGATCAGTACCTACCCTCGACCACAACCGACTCTTCTCCTTCAGCTGACGGCCAGCAAAGCCATTCCACCAATAATGCAACTGTTCACTACACCTTGGACAAGAGAGAGACCATCGAGCCTCCTCAGACTAGAGAAAACACCACCTCTGTCCCCTTTGGCCGTACTTCAAAGCTTTTCCGCAGCCATGGCCCCCCTCCTCGGGTCCCTCAGCCGCCCATCCCGGCAGTCCATCCCTCGACGGTCCTGGCATCCCCAGTGATCCGTAACGACCTCCCAGAGGACCATACCAGCATTCCAGAGTGCAGCATGTCTCGTGAGCACTCCTGGTCAACCATGTCAACCGCAAGCTCTGGTAACGTCGGAGAGCTTCTTGACATTGCCGACCACAACAATGTCGGAACATCCGCCGGCTACAGCAAGGACAACCAATACCTGGAAGCCAACCACCACGAGTTCAACCAACGACCGTGTGGCCCCTGAGGGCACCACCGGCATCGGGGCGTTGTCTCGTGCAGCCTTCTCAATGGGCGGCCTTACAACAGACTCTGATGAAGATCCATTCAAGTATGACCGCGGATCATACACGGTCTTCCTCCAGCCATCTCAGGAAAGAGAAGTCAGCGAGGCGCTTCACCGTGTCAGTGGCACCAGCACCATCTATCCCAATGAGACCAACCACAATGGACATGCCTACACCGCGCATGGCCCAGTTGGCTCTGCCGCACCTCCCATGCCTCCTTCAACTGGGCTCAGTTATCAAAACACCGCTCAGAGAAACATCAACACTCCCAACAAAGCTGCCATGAAGAAACTCGCTCTTCGGTCTTATTTTCCTAAGCACCTTCAATGGGACGAAGATGATGAGGAGTTTGACGATGAGTTTGACGACATCGATGCTGTTAAGACCGACAGAGGTGATTGGGAGACAGTCGGGTCCAACCTTGGTTTTGCTAAGACCGACAGAGGTGACTGGGAGACAGTTGAGTCGAACCTCGTTGCTGTTAAGAGCGATGGAGGGGAGTGGGAGACAGTCGGTTCTAGTATTGGCCAGTTCAACAGCCATCGAGCTTATGCGTCCGGGACTGGCTTTGGCACTCGCTTTGGCCTACGGACCACAGGGAGCAGCATTGCAGACTACTCCGACACCTCAAGCATCCGGGCTGAATCCTTCGGTGCTTTTGCATCAACCGAAAAGATCGTGCAGCATCCGATGAACGGGAAGCACGACAACTATGTCGTTCGGACACTCAAGGGTGACAGCCGCCCAGTCTTCCTTCCGCAACCAAGGATTCATAGAGTCAACGGCTATGCCCAAGATTCATGCCGCGTATTTGACCAAGCCACGACATCAAGCAGCCAGGGTTCATCCACAAGAGCATACTTGGCGGAGAAGCTCACTGCCCCGTTCCGTTCTTTGACCTCCAGCAGGAACACCGATCGGAGACATCCCTATGGGAACAGCCAATCCGGCCCAGACAGCGGCCACCAGCTAAGACGCCAGGGTCTGAGGAGACTTCCGCCGCAGACACCCCGAGCTCACGATTCATTTCAAGCCAATACATCTATCGGCCCGGAATCACCAGTCCAGTTCAGCTTTCCGTTGATTCCTTTGGAAGAGGCTGCAAGGCTACAAGCGTTGAAGCGACGAAGCGACGCGAATGAACACAGCTTTCAGAACAGTCCTCAGACACGGAAGAACAGCCTCGTGTCTTGCCTTTCGTGGAAGGCCTCCAACAAGTTGACGAAGAAAACGGCGCCCTCCACTCCGCATACTCTGCCGAGAAAGCCATTGCCCACTCACTGTCGCGAGCCAGTCTCTAACCACCGCGTCTCAATCCGTATGTATAACCCCAACTCAACATGTCAGTTCCATGTACTAACAGTTTCACAGAAAACCAAGTTGCCAGCAACGGACAGGAGACAACTCGCTTGTCGACCTTGAGCAGCGCAAGCCCACCAGCCCCTGGTAAACCAGTGTTCCCGCGGTCTTGCCGAAACCCATTCAGCTCTGCCCATGGCTCAGCTGGGAGCAGCTCGGGCTACAGGCGCTCATGGGGCATTCCCTTCGAACGTCCTCACCTTTGGGGGAAAGATAAAAGAACTTCGCGTGTTGATTGTGAAGGTTCATATCTCTACCAGCTGGCCAATTTGAATGTAACTGACCCTTTTAGACTTGATGAAGAAGACGGCTACCTCTCCTGGGAAGCACGACGGCGCCGAAAACAGTTCTTCTGGTTTCTGTGTTTCCTCTGCGTCTTTCCGTTCATGGCGCCCCTCGTCTATAAAGGCACGTTTGACACGACACTGGCGTGGTTCACCAAAGGAGAAGTCGACTGCCTAAATCATCGACAACGTCGAAAAGTCTTGATTTTTGGGAGCGTCATCTCATTTCTTTGGTTGTGTGGTATCGCGATCCTCACAACGCTCTTGGCTATGCGCGGGAAGAACGATCATCAATGAGTTTTTGTATTAGTTTTTAGTGTTCGAGGATAGAGTTGGAAATAAGTAGTTTAAGACGGTTATAGAAGTTAGGAGTCTGGAGTTTAGAAACGAAACATGTGCTTTGTCTACGTCTGAACAGCTTTTGAGTGACCTCGCACCCTCGTTGTGCTAATCCATGCGCAATACACCTCCCTACCGGGATGAGGTAAGTGAGGAAACTCGTTAGAGGAACCATACAGTACTAGGTGAGAAGCTTAACACTTGGCTTTCTGTGCGTCCATCATGCAGTTGGCGCTTCGCGAACCTGTTTATTATTGGCTCTCGAAGTAAGCCTAGCTGCAGTCCAATACTGGTTTCTTTCTTAGTTAGAGACCTCTGGTCAACCTTTGTAGGTGTTCACATGTCTAACTAATCCCTTTTGTTCTACAGTAAAAGCGTAATCTTGTCTTGTATATGTCATTTTGAATTTTGTTATCATTCTTGTTACTCGTTCTATGGTATTATAATCTGTCTTTTTGAAGCTTGGGACAATCTAGAATAGATTTGTCCAGTATACTAGGAGTACCGAGCTAACAGACAAACCGGCATTAGATTGTGCATGCAAATCGCGGGGACTTGACCAGGAGGGGGCGCCACACAGCACGCCAACTTCACATTTTGAGTTTTATTCACAGGGCCGGTCAATGGCGCCATTGCACATGTTAGACGTACACGGGTTTGATGCTCACCGGCTTCAGTCAGCCGGATCCGACAACAGATATCATATATTACACAATCTCCTCCTCTTTCTCATCTCTCGAGTCCCCTCGACGCCCATGGCTAATTTTCCTCCCTTCTTCGTGACCACACATTTCCCATCACGTACGGTAAATAATGGAGGACATAAAAGCTAGCACCAAAACCGTTCCAACAGCTCTTGAGACTGTACCCAAGTCCGAGCACAAGACAGTCGTCGACTCAAGTAACGATGATGCTATCATTCCTCAGGGGCACATCGACCCCGTATTCGAAGCGAAAGCCAGGGTCCTAAATCGTGCGGTTCGTTTTCCCTCTTCATACTCTGTTGTTCTACGACAAGACTGACTGACTGACTGACTGACATCTCTACCTTTACATCTAGATCCAAGACATCGGCATGGGATGGTACCAATGGCAGCTTTTCGTCGTGGTCGGATTCGGCTGGGCATCAGACAATGCATGGCCTATCATTACGTCTCTCATATTTACGCCCATCGCGAACGAGTTCCATCCCAGCAGACCGCCATTGCTCTCCCTCAGCCAGAACATTGGCCTTCTGGCTGGCGCCATCTTCTGGGGATTCGGGTGTGACATTTTCGGCCGGAAGCTGGCCTTCACCCTGACGCTCGGCGTCACGGCTGTCTTCGGGATGGCGGCCGCCGGAGCTCCCAACTTTGCGGGCATCGGCGTCTTCGCCGCCCTCTGGTCCTTTGGCGTGGGTGGAAACCTGCCTGTGGACTCGGCCATCTTCCTCGAGTTCCTCCCGGCATCGCACCAGTTCCTGCTCACCATCTTGTCCATCGACTGGGCTCTTGCGCAGTTGATCGCGACCCTCATAGCCTGGCCGCTGCTGGGGAACTTGACGTGCCAGCAAGACACGGTTTGCAGGAGGGGGGATAACATGGGCTGGCGCTATTTCGTGATCACCATGGGCGGCCTGACGTTGATCATGTTCCTCGTCCGGTTCCTCTGCTTCACCATCTTCGAGTCGCCCAAGTACTTGATGGGCAAGGGCAATGACGAGGAAGCCGTACGAGTGGTCCACGAGGTGGCGCGCAGGAATGGGAAGACGTCCAGCCTGACGGTGGCGGATCTGAAGGCGTGCGAGCCCGAGGGCTACGTCCATAAAGCTAACGTTGCGGATGCCGTCAAGCGGCGTCTCGAGGATGTCAAATTCGACAGAGTCCGTACTCTTTTCTCGACCAAGCGACTTGCGCTTTCGACGGGCCTGATCATGGCTGTTTGGGCGTTTATCGGTCTCGGATATCCACTGTACAACGCCTTTATTCCGTATATCCAGGCCATCAAGGGCGCGGAGTTCGGAGACGGGTCGACATACTTGACGTACAGGAACTCGCTTATCATAGCGGCCATTGGAGTGCCTGGGGCTTTGCTTGGTGGCTATCTGGTTGAAATTCCTCGGCTGGGGCGCAAGGGAACGCTTTCGATATCCACGATCCTCACTGGCGTATTTTTGTACTGCTCAACCACGGCGCTCAACTCGGCGGCTCTTCTTGGTTGGCAGTGCGCTTTCAATTTTTGCAGCAATATCATGTACGCGGTACTGTACAGCTTCACGCCGGAGTTGTTTCCGACGCCGGAACGAGGGACTGGGAACGCGCTGACTGCCACGTGTAATCGGATTTTCGGGATTATGGCGGTATGTTCTAATGGCTTTTTTTTTTGTGAAGCCACACACAGAGTGCTGTTGCTAACGAATGTTTGATTGTAGCCGATTATCGCCATGTTTGCGGATCTCCGAACTTCGGCGCCGGTTTATACGAGTGGTGCTTTGTTCATATTCTCTGGTCTTTTGGTACTCGCCTTGCCATTTGAATCAAGGGGGAAGGCCGCGCTGTGACGGGAGGGTTGTTTTGGATATCAGCAGTCACTTTAGTTTACTTGCATACTATAACTCTATATTATTCATCACCAGACCGACCGTGGCTTTTGAATAGGCCTTAGGAAGGCGACTCTGAGAAAAAAGAAGGCAATTTATTTTTAACTTCGCTGGGAAGCCGCTGGGAAAACCTAGAACCCGCTTGGGATAGAGATACTTCGCTGTAGATATTTTCGCTTCCTCCACATGTTCCTTTAAATGTTTCGCTAGATTATTTTTTTTTTTCCGCTGGAGATAAGCATGTTCGCTATGGTACGCTATGGACTCACCAAGGGAGAGTGCCCAGGACTTGCCCAGACAGCTCTCCCATAGTATTGGAAAAACTCGGACAAGTTGGACCACAACTTCAAGTGAACGGATGACCTTGCAGTGTTGCGAACCCAACCGAGAGCCAACCACGGAAGGTAAGTGCAACACACATGGCCATTCCGCCACTAAACCATTTTTAGCCGTTGTTATCCACTCGACACAGACACTAAGCCTATAAAGGCAAAATCAAAGCAAAAACCCCTTTCCGCTCCGTCCGTTGCTGGCGACACCACTCGCTCATGTTCACTTCCCACAAACAGGTATTCTTCTGAAGACATGATCGTCTGGGACGATGTTGACGATGGGGCAAGAAAAAGAATAAAAGAGGGAAAGATTGTGAGACTGAAAATATAGCATGCGGAGAATGGTGATACTTTTGCACTACGATCATTCGTAACCTTCCGTAGAAGGTGCGTTCCCCGCACCCCGCACTTCGCTTCGACGGCAGCGACGATCAGCAAACGGGAGGACAGGGTCAGGGCGCTAACATCGAGATTCCCAGCACCCGACCTTATCAAGCTTATCACCTCCGCTTCCTGAGGTGCCCTGTAAACAACAACACCACCGACAGCCAGCCCGCAATCTGATCCGGAATCTTCCTGGCGACGATAACTCACGCGAGCTACCAAGGGACTGTAATTTGTCGTTCTGGCATCGCAGCATCCTGGCCCTTTCCAAAGCTTCTTGACATTGAGCAGATCCACTTCGACTTACACCAAGTCGGTTGGTTCACCGCATAACACCCATTCATTACCTGCCCGCTGTCTACCAAACATCCAACGGACCGAGCCGCATCCCGCAACCACAAACTCTAGAAACCAAATTCCTCGACATCTCCTCGATTAACGCGTTCAACACCACAATGTCCTTCATCCCCGTCTCCCCCCCACCAACGCCCTCCGGCCCCGGTGGCCCCGGTGGCCCCGGTGGTCCCGGCCTTCTCGCCCCCTCGACGCTCATAGCCGCCCTCTCCTCCCTCTTATCCCCACAAACCGGCTCCCTAACACACCTAGTCCAATCCCTCTCCGTGCTCCTCTCGACCTCGGCATCCGGCGCCTCCCTCTCCCTCTCCTTCTTCCTGGTGCCTCGCCTCCTCGAATCGCCTACCCCTTTGATGCTCACGCAATGGCGGCGCGCCTACGAGCAGACTTTCTCCACGCTCAACCAGGCCGGCGCCGCCGCCGCGCTGGGGTATTTCCTGCTGGCGTGGCGGTTCGGGGTCCGGTATACCGGTGATGTGGTAAAGGGGGGGATGCAAGCGTTGAAGTTGGTAAAGAGGGGGCGGATGTACGCTGTTGCGGGCGCGTTGCTGGTGTTGGGAATGACGCCGTATGGGTGGGTGGTGCTGGGCGGGGTGGAGAGACGGTTGGTGGCGAGGGCGGAGGCGGTTGAGCGGGCGATGGCGCAGAAGGGGGTGGATGTGGAGGTTGGCGAGCTTGGTGCGGGTGGGAGTGGTGGGGGGTTGAAGAGGAGGCAGTCGGTTAGGGTGAAGGGTAAGGAGAGGGAGAGGGAAAGGGGGGAGAAGGGGAGGGATAGGGAGGGGAAGGATAAGGGTAAGGAAAGGGAGAGAGAGAGAGAAAGAGAGGCGAAGGAGGAGGGTTCTTCGAGAGAAGAATGTGATGTTGAGGCTGGCTTGGGCGAGAAGGTCGATATGAAGGCTGTGGAGATCGGGGCTAAGTATTGGGTTGATCAATGGGGTGTTTTGAATTTGGGAAGAGCGGCGATGATTGCTGCTTCTGCGGTCATGGGATTGAGCGCTTCGCTATGGAACTAGGACCGGACCGGATGGATAACTGGAGCAGTTCGGGTTGGCGCAAAGACGTGAAAGAGGGTGGAATATGCGGGTTTGAAGCGTTGCTTGGAAATACGATTTGGACGAAATATTCACAAGCTTGGATAACAACGGGAAAAGCAGGATAGCGAAATTGGGTTCTCATTTGGGTTTCATGTCAAAAACAAATTCTATGCCTCCTCTCATGCGCCGAAGCAGGCTCTCAAAACGGCCTTGGTCCTGTCAACCCTCTCTAATCTCCGTCTTGCCTGGCGCGAAATATCACCGGATAACCTTCCCAGCCCTTCAACCATCCACGTTCAGACGGCATCCTCCCTAACCATCTCACTTGGACTTTCCAGAAGAGCCAGAGCCGGAACCGGAAGAGCCAGAGCCCGAGCTCGAGTAGGAGTTACCACTGGGCGAGGTGTAGTTGGAATAACCGGAGCCACTGTTGTAATATGTGCTCCCATTGGGGTTGGAGTAGTAGTAGGATCCGTTACTGTTTGATTTGGGAAATGGTTAGTCATTGCCGTTGATCCAGAGCAACAGTCAAGATCTTTTCTTACGAGTTGGAGTAGTGGTACGAGTTGGATCCGTTGCCGTAGTCACGGGAGCAGTAGTGGTTGCCCTGCAATAAGTTGGCATTTTAGCATCGATAATTGACCCTTTTGTTCCGGAGAAATAGAAGACGGGAGCAACATACCTGGCTATTGGTGCCATGACTGTTGTAGCTGTATCCGTTGGGCATTTTGAAGGAGGTTGTGATTATTGATTGTATAGAAGAAAAAGAGTGGGAAGATTAAGTAGTTTGCTGGTCTTTTGCCTTTTCAGCTTCTGCCAGTGAAGGTCAGTTTTGGGGGTTGTTGTTCGCGATAGAGATCAAGAAGAAGAGGAGGAAAGGAACAGTAGGAAGGAAGCCCTCTTTAATAGTTGGAATCAGACTACCCCCAAGGACGAGAGAAGGGAAGGGCCTGCTATCTTTCCTCCAGGCGGAGGAATGTCCGAACAGCTTCCGTCCTGCTCTTAACAAACGCCTGGGGAATAGCTGCCCGTTTCTTCATGATTGAAGAAAGGTGATGCCAGTCAAACACGACAACTGCACGCTTTCGGTGTAGTATAACGCGGGAGGCCCGAAGTTGTGGATACCGGGGCTTCAACGCTAACTCCTATCATCGCATGCGTGCATCTAACGCGATTTGGATGAATTGATGGCAGAACAGACAAACGTCTTGGATCTCAACTATTCCTACTTCGTCCGGACATTCCGATGTGAAGAGATCAAATCAAAGAGATAAGCCACAAAGCAATGCGTAACTTCCTCGTGAAGGTTTATTCAGTCTTTTTTTTGTTTACTTGAGAAAGGGGGTCATGACTCCACCTTGGAAAGAAGGCCAACCCTTGTTCGTTGGTGTTCTTGTATGTACAAAACCGCGAACTGACGGACACTGGCATAACCAGAAAATTAACGCAAACGGCCATTCATTTCTTATATTCTTCCATGGAACATCTAGGATCTGAAGCATTCAAAACTACCGGCTACACTCCGGGTATCATTCCTCTATTTTAGAACCAACTTTTTACACGAAACGCTGTCTATCTAAGAAGTCAACTTTTAAAGGTTGCCCTGCACGGCGGTGGTATCGCGGTGCTCGGCGGGGGTATCCTCGTGCTCCGACAAGAATTTCTCGGCATCGAGGGCAGCCATGCAGCCGGTGCCTATGGATAACGGATTAGTGAGACTTTTCTTGAGAAAGGGCACAAAATGGAGTCACGTACCGGCGCTGGTAATAGCCTGCCTGTACCTCTTATCCTGAACATCACCAGCAGCAAAGACACCCTCAACGCTGGTAAGGGTGGTGCCAGGCTTGGTAACGACATAACCCTCAGAATCGGTCTCGAGCTGACCCTTGACCAAGGCGGTCGCGGGATCATGGCCGATGGCATAGAAGAGACCGTTGGCCTCAAGAGTCTCCTCCTGGCCAGTGGTGACGTCCTTGACGACAAGGTGGCTCATGAGACCCTTGTCGTCGCCCTTGACCTCGACACCGACGGTGTTGAACTTGACAGTGATCTTCTCGTGCTTCAACAACCTCTGGGCCATGATGCTGCTGGCCCTCAGCTTGTCCTTGCGAACCAGCACCGTAACGTGGCTGCCGTACTTGGTAAGGTACATGGCCTCCTCGGCAGCGGAGTCACCGCCACCAATGACAACAAGGTGCTTGTTGCGGAAGATGGGGACGGCACCGTCGCAAACGGCGCAGGCCGAAATACCGTTCTGCCAGTACTTCTCCTCACCGGGGAGGTGGAGTCTGCGGGCAGAGGCGCCGGTGGCCAGGATGACGGCGTCGGCAGTGTGGTACTCCTCGGGGGACCACTCGGTAGCGTACTTGAAGGGGCGGGCAGAGAGGTCGAGCTTGGCAACGGTCTCGCTGACAATCGTGGTGCCGAAACGCTCGGACTGGGCCTTCATCTTGTCCATCAACTCCTGGCCCATAATGCCATCGGGGAAACCGGGGAAGTTCTCAATCTCGGTCGTGGTGGTGAGCTGGCCACCGGCGGCGATGCCATTGGCCATGAAGCCCTCGTAGAGAACGGCTGTAGGAATAGCGAGAGAATGTTAGCGCATTGGTCCTTGTAACTTTAAGACGACAATGGTAATGGCATCATGGGACTCACGCTTCAGCTCGGCGCGGGCCAGGTAGACGGCGGCAGTGTGGGCGGCCGGCCCAGAGCCGATGATAACTACTTTGCTGTGCATGTTTCTTTTTGTGATGGCCTGGATTTCGGCAGGTTGAACCGGAGTGTTTTTCTTGAAAGCGGTCGCGGCAGCAGCGACTGAGAGACCAGATGCGCTGGATCGGAGAGTTCTTCGAAAGGTTGAGGAAAACAGTTTGGCGGTTGGTGGGGTTTCTCTTGGGGGAAAACGGAGTATATCACTGGACGGAGAATTGTAAGTCACAACGAAAAGGAAGCTGAAAAGGTAAACGATTGATAATCTCTGGAATTCTTTCTCTCCCGATCTGCGATCTAGTCACACTGCCCAGGTGGTTCCAGATCAGGCGCGTTGTCCCGGCGCCATTTTTCAATGGAGTCGCGATTTCTAATCCAGATCCCAGCCTGGGGGCGGACTCGGAGAGATACCGAGGAAATGCCCAGGGTCCAGGGCCAATGCCCCTCTGACGTGCTCGGCCAATCCCCACTTCACAGATCCAGCGGGGTCGTCCCGCTGCAGGGGAACCAAGTCCCGTTTCAGGGCCCGAGTGAAAGATGATTTCCTCAATCTGGGTTAGGGTTATTGGTGAATGTATTTATTTTCACGACTTTAAGATCTTGGAGACGATGAAACTCGACCCGACACAACATGATAAGTGAGCCCAGGCATTTACTACAACCTGCTCTTGCCTTCCTGCTGCGGGACCTGGACCACCACCTTACCCCAAGTCTCACGACCTCCTAGAGCGATCAACGCATCCGGAATCTTTTCGAGACCGACAAACTCCTTGTCGCTGAACACTGTCGGCTTGAACTTGCCCTCGGCAATCAACTTCATGATGCCCTGCCACACGGTCACGACCGTCTCCTTCTCATGAACAGCATACTGGCCCCAATGGATACCGACGATGCTGATGTTCTTGAGGAGAACCTTGTTCATCGCCAGCTTCTCGATCTTACCGGCAGCGAAGCCGACAATCAAGATGCGGCCATTCCACGCGGTGCACTTGGTGCTCAGGTCCACCAGGCCGACGGGGTCGTAGACAATGTCGACACCCTTGCCCTTAGGGGTCAGCTTCTTCACGATCTGGGGCCAGTTGGGGTCCGTGTAGTCAACAACGTGGTCAGCGCCAAAGGACTTGGCGACCTCCAGCTTGTGCTTGGTTCCAGCCGTAGCAATGACAGTGGCTCCAAACGCCTTCGCGACTGTTTATGGAATCAGAAAGCGGTTCGCCCGAGAGACTGGTACGTATGTCACTTACTTTGAACAGCAGCTAGACCGACACCACCGGCCGCAGCGTGAACAAGGACGTAGTCACCCTTCTTCACCCCGGCTCTGACAACGAGGGCACCATAACTCGTTGGTGCTGTCACAAAGAGGCCAGCGGCATCCACAAGCGACCAGCCCTCGGGAGCTGGGAGGAGTGTCACCTCCTTGGCCTTGACTTTGGTAGCGTAGGCACCCTGGCTAGCTCCAAACACACGGGAGCCAACAGGGAACTTGGGGTTCTTGGAACCGGAAGGGGTGGCGAGAACAACGCCGGCGAACTCGGCACCTGATACCCAGGGGAATGCTAAGATGAAATATTAGTATACGGATGGAAATGTAAACGGAGGCCAGGGGAGAACAAAACATACGTGGTTGATGCTGGTATTTGCCCTGAATCTGGAGAATGTCGAAGAAATTCGTTGCCGCGGCGTGAACTTCAATTAAGTACTCATCTGCAGCAGGCGTAGGGTCTGGAAGTTCCGTGACCTTCAGCTCTTGAGGGCCCTAAGATAGATATGTTAGAATCATGAAAGAGAAATATGTGCTGATGGTTGAGATAAGACATACCTTGACGTACTGTGCCACCTGAATGCCTCTCATCTTGGAAGGATATGTGGAGTAAGAAGATGCTTGACTAAACTGAATGGAAGCAAACGCAAAAAGATCAAGTAGGCTATCTGAGAAGAGAAAGAGAAACGAGAGCCTATTTATAATCAACAGTATGGTTAAAGGATGCCGAGTACAACTAGGATGCCAATGGCCATCGCCGCGGGGTGATCGGTAGTGTACTTGGTTTCTGTAAGGGAAGCCGAGGTAGCCCAGACCAGGAGAGCTGATCTCTGATTGGCCGCTCACCTAACTTGGACCTCTCGGTGAGCCCACGTCTTATCGATTTCTAACAATCGAGTCGCGACTTGCATCTTCCACTTGCAACATTTCACTTCACCACTTTCCCAAACCCAACTTGCTTCGATTTCTAACCGCGCAAACCGCCGTGCAGCAAATCCACGACTTATTCTCAACACGAAACCACAAACATATATCCGAGAATATTACGCTCGTCCAAGCGCGCACAATTCACGAGCCGCGCAATTCTCTCGATAAGCCCATTCTTGGTCGCCGCCGAATTACGCACCTCTACGAAACGATCGCGACGAACAACCCTAGCCACCTCGAGAAATTCGAACCTACACCGGGCGAACGACCTCACTCCGCCTCTCACAGACACAACACCCGCCAAAAATGGCGACAACAACAAAAACAACAACGACAAACTCCCTCCCCTCGGGGACAGGAACAGGAGGAGGCCTAATCACCCAAATGCTCACCCACACGCCTCTCCAATACACCTTCTCCTTCACGCCCTTCCTACAAAAGACCTACCAGCACTCGCTCCCTGCCGACCGACCCATCTGCAAAGCCTACGTATCTGGCAACTGTCCGCTCAAATCGCACTGCCCGGAGCGCCACGTCACCACATCCAACACCAACACGGGTGGCGGCGGTCACGGCGGCAATTTCTCTGGTGGCTTCGGCTCTTTGGTGTGCAAGCACTGGCTGCGCGGGCTCTGCAAGAAGGGCGAGTCGTGCGAGTTTTTACACGAGTACAACCTGCGCAAGATGCCCGAGTGCAACTTCTTTGTGCGAAACGGGTACTGCAGCAACGGGGACGAGTGCTTGTATCTGCACATTGACCCCTTGTCGCGGCTGCCGCCCTGTCCGCACTACGAGAGGGGCTTCTGTCCGTTGGGCCCCAGGTGCGACAAGAAGCATTTCCGGCGGAAGCTGTGCTTGTATTATCTGGCGGGCTTCTGTCCGGATGGGAAACTGTGCAAGGAGGGCGCGCATCCGAGGTGGACGGCGGATAAGGATATGGAGAAGCCCAGGGCCAAGGGCGAGATGACGGCTGAGCAGCTGCAGCAACAGCAGCAACAGCAGAACATGAATGGTGGCGCTGGAGGAGGTGATAATTATGGAATGGGTGGAATGGCGCAGCAGACGGGCGCGAACGAGTACATGGACCGCGAGAGGGAGCGGGATAGGGATAATAGGGAGAGGGAGATGATGATGGGGGGACGTGATAGGGACGGCGGCGGTCATGATCGTCACAAGGATCGCTTTGGTGGTGGTGGTGGAGGAGGAGGCAGAGGTAGGGGAGGATGGAGGGGAAGAGGAAGGGGAGGGGGGTTCAGGGGTAAAGGTCATTAGGGAAAGCCGCCGGGAGATATGAAAAGGTGCATCTACAACAAAGAACACTCAAACTCGAATATGACTAGGCTTAGGAAACTGGTATCATGGATCAGGATTGCATTAGGGAATGAGGAAATGGGTCACACGGCGCAAAGGCAGGGTTATTACATCCATTGACTGTATATTAAGACACGGCATATTACGAAGCTTGTACGATTTTCTCGAGGATTGCTAGCTTGACATTATGGAGGAGCTGTGATCTGTATATTTCTTCCAAAACACAGCAAGAGAGAGGGGATCCAAAAGCATTAACGCCGCCCTCCTACCTAGTTACCCATAACCTAATGATATTTAACCCTACCGTCTGAACTGCTATGGCCTCTCTGCCTTCGTAATAGAAATTGCCTTCTTTTGTATTCTTCCAAGCCATTCCGTTGACCACTTCACTCCATCGGCACCGCAACATAAGACTCATTCGACGTACGGGCCCCCGTCCCCTCATCTTTATCTCCATTCTCGCTTCCCATAGACCTCACCGAGCCACCCGACCTTGGGCTGTTAAACGAGCTATGACTCGACTGCCACGCAGCCAACTCGTCCACCTTTCTAATACCCATCATCCACGCCACCAGCCCGCGCGGCACCCAGCGTCCGACAAAACCATACACGCTCGCACCGAGGCCAACGCGGACAGTGCCCTTGGTGATAGACCCGTCAATCACGTCAAAAACAGCATTATGCAGCTCCCTTAGCGAGCTGCCGCGCATCCCGCGGATGCGGCCCGCGCTGATGGCCGAGCTCGACTGGCTGACAAAGTTCTTGCCGTACGCGTGGCGGGCTGAGTCAGGCCAGGGCAGGAGGGCCTCGGCGTCCTGGGGGTTCGCTTCGAGCGCGCGCAGCGGGAGGCCCTGGGGGTTGCGCTCCTGCCAGTGTTCGCGGGCCGTCGAGGCGGGCGAGAAGCCGGCGAAGTCGAAGGTGCCGAGCTGGATGTGGGTGACGGGGATGGCGAGCGGGCGGAGCTCGGCGGTCAGCACTTCGGTGAATGCGGAGAGGGCGGAGCAGACGGTCGCCTCGGGGGCGTGGAAGGGCGGGTTGATGGAGGAGATGATGGAGGGCGTGCAGACAATGATCTTAGGGCTGTCTTTTTTCTTGTCGGGCTTTTCGAATGATGACTCGGCTGAGGGGGTAGGGCCCAGGCGAGCAGTAAGTAGAGGGAGGAAGGCCTGGAGGGTTATGATAGGGTGGAGGAGGTGTGTGTTGAAAGAGATTTGCGAAGCCTGAGGGCGGGATGGTGGCGATGGGCGAGGTCTGGTAGTTCAGGGATGGAATGAGGATAACGGCCTTGAGGTGCAACCGATGTCGCTTGCCGTTGGGCACTGCCGCGTGGGGTGACTGGAGGTAGGCAGCGAAACGCTCGATGGAAGCGCTGGCGCTGAGAGGATCGGTGGTGTCGACGCCCAGAGGTCGGATATCCGGACGTGCTAGATTCTGAATAGAAACATCGTCCTCTGGTCCACTTGATACGATAAAGACGACGAAGCCTTTCCTTTCCAGATCCAGCGCTACCGACCGGGTCAACGGCAGGTTTGGCGATCCCGCAATGACAACAACATCCATACGCCCTCCGCTGCGTGCCCGCCGTGCCCGCCTCGTCTTCCTGAGGTAGGCGTTGACTGTGTATGACCGATATAGAACGGTGCCGGTGGCCAGGACAATGGCGGTGGTGAGGACTTTGTTCCGCAATACCCAGCCCTCAACTCGGTCGTAGAGCGAGATCGATGCCTCGGCTAGAGGCGCTGGCGGCGGCAGCCGAGGACGGATCTGTTCTGGTACCCATTGCGAGTTTGCGAGGGTGTATCTTACGGACTCGGCAATCTTGTCGACGTTGTCATTTACGATGTGGGCGACATCTTCAGAGTATCGCTTGATATCACCGGGTAGGGACGATAACTATGATAACCGAACAAGGCCGTTGTTAGTGGGGTCGGTCCCATGCGGGGATCAAGTGGTGCTTTGCATGTTTCCTTACCACGTCCAGAAAAGCCTGATCGTCCGCAGACATGTTGTTTCGATTATGGATTTCCTCGAGTCTTGTGTGAAGTGGTGGTGATGTGAACTTGGGCAGCTCAGTGAACAGGAAACGCGGGGTGATAAGTCGGCAGACGGGAATTGGGTGTTGCAATACGTGAACCGCGCCGGACTTCACAGTGTTCCAATAATGACGGGGAGAAGGTTTCTTTTATCGCTTTTATCGTACCCTTGCGCACCTTATCAGGCGGAGCTAATGCGCCCTGAGCTAAGGTACCCCAGCCTTTACCCCGGCGACTGCTCCACCACCAACGTCATGCCGTGACACGCTGAATGAGAAAGCCCAAGTCTTTTAAGACACAAGGTTTGAAAGACGATGACCTATCTGGCTAGGCTACAGTGGTTGTTTCGAAGTTCTTTCCACATCACCATATCAACACCTTGAAACATCCTACATACCTCCAGCTCTGATGCTGATTGCTGAGGAGGTCTGATCACTCCCATCCCTCACCTCACAACTTCCTGGCAAGCACCCTCAACCTCACATAACTATACATCCAGCCTCCTCCCGGCTTAGCACACACAACCTCCAGCACATCCACCACCTCCTTCACCACCTCCTCTTTCTCCTCCTCACTCCCCAGTGCCTGCAAAAACTGAGCAGCCATCAACCTCACCCATCCCTCAACACCACCCACATCCGCGTTCGTAGGCCTCCACTCCCTCTCGATCTTCTCAACCTTCCAACCGCCGACCTTCTCCTCCATCATCTGCTTCACCCAATCCTCATCAGGAAAGAACCAAGGGTCGACCTCCTGCGCCTTCTTCAAACCGACTCTTCTGCCGACTGCCGCCAAAAGCGTGGCCCGGATCTCCGACACGTTGCCTAGTCCGCCCATTTCAAAAGCGAACGTGCCGCGGGGGGCAAGCACGTTGCGGACGCCCTGGAAGAAGACCTCGCGCTGGTCTTCCGGGCGCAGGATCCAGTGGAGAGCGGCGTTGGAAAAGGCTTTGTTGAAGCGGACGTAGTGGAGGTGGGTTTTGGTGATGAGGGAAGTTGCGTCGAGGACTGTTAACAATGTGTTAGAGAGAGGGCCAGATTCTTGGAGGTAAGGACTGAGCAGTCACAATCACTTACCCTCAAAGGTACAGGTATTCTTCAAGTGCGCATCATCTGCCGCCTTCTTCTGAGCAGCCTCAATCATGGCTTTGGAGCTGTCCACACCGTGCAAGCGACCTCTGCCTCCCTCGAACACTTGTGCAATCTCGAAGTCGAGAACGCCGTCTGTGTTTTCAGAGAGGTCCCGATTTGTCAGTCACGCCTTCATGAAAGTGTCCTCTTTTGGTTGGGGTGGGAGGAGAAGACTCGACTCACCTCCGCAACCGATATCAAGAACCACGTCGTCCTTCTGGGGGTCAAGCCATTGGACAATCTTTGTTGCCAGCTTGGGGACGAAGGAGGCTGCGGATTGATAGGCCTGTTTATCTCTCTTGATTTGTCAGTCGCTTATTTACGTCAAAAGTCATTCCTACCATGAAGAGGAAAAATTGCGGTTATTCAGTGACGAGCACATTACCTCTGAGGACCAGTTATCCTTGTTCTGTTTGGATGCCATATCGTCCAGTGACGGTGGTTGAGATGGTGTGTGTTTGGGGAAGAAACGGGAAGAGAGAAGCCGAGCAGATCAAGTGGGAACCGTCAGAGTTTTTATACCCGACCATTCGCGCCCGTTTCATCATGCCAACCCCACGTAACTGTTGTTTGAGAAGAGATACTACCATAAGCCAAGATTGGATCAGAAAGGCAGCCACGACCTGGATGAGAGGGGTCCGATGTCGGCGACTACCCTCACGTCTCTCTACGAATCCAGGTAGGCTGCAGGTGGGAAACTGCATGGAAGAAACGTTCCCTCGTCTCAAAGAAGAAGGTCAAACCGAAGATGAATGTCCAGAATACCGGAGCAAGTCAAAAGGTTAGATATGAGTGCGTATCTGCTGAAATTGCTGACATTTTACGCTCGCTGGTTAAAGTTAAAGACCGAGCACGAAGTTCAATCTTGTAAATCCCCTATCACCACATCACTATTGCGTATATACATCAACGCTGATCATGCCTTGACAAATCAGCTTGGGCAAACTGACATGCAATGACCATGAGAAGTCTCTCCGGCCCAAAGCCCGCCCACCTCCGCCATGCACTATTGCGCCCTATTTCTCATCATTTGGTCCTGAAGACGACGCTCGTGTTGTTTTTTGCAGGCTTCCTAATCCACGACGTTATCCAACAACTTCGGGTCGAACAGCTTGTACTTGTCCTCTCCGAGCGCATCCTCTGCTCTCTTCATTACCACAAGGACCTTCTCTTCTTCCAAACGGCGGCCAATAACCTGCACACCGACCGGAAGACCATGCATGCGTTCGGCGTCGTAGTATTTGTACGCTCTGGCCGCAATGCCGTTGAGCTTCCTGTGGTTGAAGGTGCTCGGGAGCTTGTCGAGGGCACCATTAACATGTGTGACGGGAATGACGCCGGCTGTGTAGTCGAGCTGTTGAGGAGAGAGGGGGTTGTGTCAGTAGGTTCTTCGTTGTGAAAGTCACGACACTGGGGCAGAAACTCACCAAGTTAAAAAGGAAGCAATATCCACAGTTGCTGAACGTGTCCTTCGAGGCGTCCTGAGGAATAGCAGGCAGCGCATTGGGGGGTGAAATAAGCACGTCGAACTGCTTCCTGTTCCAGTACTCGAACCACTCGGCCCTATACGCTTCTCTCTTCTTGACCTCGCCCCAGTTCTCCGCTGCCGAGATGGGCCTCGTCTGCTTCACAAGCTCTGCCCAGAGGTTATCCCTCCGGATGTACCTTACCCATAGGTACCCCAGATACCGGACGATGCTCGGCCACTTGCCAAACGACAACAGGCTCGCTCCCGTATCCAACCACTCACCAAACCTCCTGTACGAATTAAACCACCAGCCGCCATCGGCATTCAGCAACAACGCCCCCATCCTCAGCGCCTCAAACATATCAGGCGCATCATCCATCTCCACGATCTCGTGCCCTTCCCTCCTCAACGCCTCCTCCACCATCTCCAGCGCCCGCTTGCACGCCGGGCTGGGATCAACCACCCTATCTGTCCTCAAGACGCCCACCCTTAGCTTCCTTCCCTGATCCGCGTACTCGTCCACCACTTCGTCTCTCCACGCAAGCGGGTGAACAGAGTGATCATACTTCCACGGCTTCATCCCAATCACCGCCCTAGTAAAGTAACTCAAATCATCCAGCGTCCTCGCCATAGGCGAGTAGACACTAGGCACTCCCTCCTGGCCCGGCATGCTAGTCAGGATGCCCGCCTTGGGCCAGCGGCCCGTCGCGCATCTCAGGGAGTAGCACCCACTGAAGTGAGCCGGCACTCTCACGCTGCCCGCCACGTCGCTACCGATGCCGATGCGTCCGCCACATGCCAGGAGCGCCGACTCGCCGCCCGTTGAGCCGCCCGGCGAGTACGCCTTGTTGTACGGGTTCGTGCAGCGGCCCCACACGTCGTTGGTGCTTTCGTAGCTGAGCAGAGAGATGGGCAGGTTGGTCTTGACGTAGGGGATGGCGCCGGCGTCTTTGAGGAGACGCACCATCGGCCCGTCTCGCGGGTTGTAGGCCTTGTTGCCGACGAAGGAGGAGTACCCGACTGTGGTGTCGAAGCCGCCTACGATGATGGTGTCCTTCAAGCTGACGGGGATTCCGGCCAGGGGACCTTGGAGGTTGATTTCTTTGGAGTTTTGGAGGGAGTCCTCGGCGGCAGAGATGAGGACCTCGGTCAAACAGTTGGTCTTGGCGTGGGCTTTGACGGCAACCTTGCCGTAGGTTCGGAGGACGGAGAGTGGAGAGATGGCATGGGACTGGATGCCGGACACAAGCTCGGTGACGGGCTTGTTAATGGTGTCGAGGTCGTTGTCGGAAAGCGCGGCTCGGTATTCCGGACCGAGCGAGGCGATGCGTTCTTGACGCTCGGCTCGCTTAGATTTACTATTTGACGGTGCCTAACATCAGCAAAAAATGATACTTCCATTTGATTTCTGAGGTCTAAAGATAGAGCACAAGGTTCGGAAGAGGGCTAATCTCGAAGGATACTACTCACCAGTCCCGCTTGTGGCGGAGGTAATCCGAGAGGAAACTCATTTTGTCAACGTGATTGCTCGCTGGTCACTGAGCTTCCATAAGTATACAAGCCACTTGATAGAAATCTAGAACAAGACCCGAAGATCTCAATGTATCGGTGCGGCGGACGTTGCCAGTGTTGATATGTCCGTTGGGCGAAGTCGAGTGGAAGGCACGGGGTTGGCGTACGGGAGGTAAAGATAGGATGAAGCTATTCAGACTCGATTGGAGATACTATACCCTCCTAATGGATAAGTGAGACGAGGTAAGGCCGGTGTAATTAACCCGGGTTATATGTAACACAAGTGAAGTGTAAGTTGACAGAAGGAAGCCTACGCCTTCCCCCCATCACGCGGGGGTGACTGCCCTCTTGTATATAAGTGATAACGGCCAAGCCAATGGCGGGTCCCTTGGAGCTATTTGGTAAGAAATGGGAAGCTGCAAGGGGACCCGAGGTCCTACCTATCCAAGACAGGTAGCGTCCAGGGTAAGGTAGTTACACTTTGGTAATTGGACTAAGCTTTATCTCCCTATCAGCGTTTTTGGTTAAGCGTGGACAAAGAGGACCATTCAGACATTGTTCTTGTTAATCTTCCCCGCGTTTGGGATCGCACGTGTGGTACGTTCGGTTACCGATCACCGGTGCTTATCCAAGAAGTCTTAAGCCGACCCCGTCCATCAAGGTTCCTCCGGCGTACCTTCCGCTCCCTAGAGTCCTAGATAGCTCCTGCCGAATTCCATGTTCCACTACGGAAGTGGGGTGAAAACAAAACTGGGAGGATCATATCCATGTGCTTACCTTCAGATAATACGATAGAGAAAGTCAGATCTCCTTTAACCTTCGAAATGGCCGGCTTTCGTTGATATCGTGAATTATTATGTTAGGGTTCTGGGCGGCTCAATACTTAACGTGGGTGAATGTGCTTAAGCCGTCCCAAGCCGAGACCTCCGCATCGGCGAGCCTGTAAGCAGAGGGATACTAGGTATAATATCACAGTCGAGTGTCGTAGCCCAGTAAACCAACCTCCGTGGTTGTCTAGCATTACGATAATAAGAAAACTGGCATACCGCCCATTTGTGGATGGTAGAATCCCCAGAAATCGTGGAGTAGCCGACATCTCAGTCTGCCCAAAATAACACCCACCACCAAACAGATCCAAACCACCAGCAAAACTGTAGCTTCCGCAGTCAAACGTTCTGTATTCTTCACCCAATATGATCCCTGCCAACACCACTGTAGATGCAATAACAAATTGACCTGCCCGCTGTTGCCTTAACGATATGAAAAAAAAAAGTGAAGAGACCTAAGATTCCTCCACACTGGGCAGCGAGGCGACAAAGAAATAGGACCCAAATTCCAAGTCCTCGACACATAACCTCCTTTCCGTTATCCTCCTCTTGTATGCTTTTCTGTCTTCCATCCAACGCCTAGCCATGAAAACACCCCCTGTCTCAGCACATATCATAGGTACTTATTTGTGGAAGGATCCGCTGTGAGTGCTATATCCTTGCGACAACAAACGCCTCGCGACCTACGCCTTGCGCAGATCACTACTGCTGGAACCGTTCGCCGTTGACGTTGCTCCTCCGCTGACCAACGTAGGGGCGACGCGTCTCCGCTTAGGTTTCTGGCTATCCTCCGCGTTGTTCGCCTCGCGGGAATCGCTTGACTCCCTCTTCAAGCTGGTTGAACCGGCACCGCTGCTCGAACTCTGTGGCGTCTCGGGAGGAGTCACAACGGGCAAGCCCGTTACCTTGCCCGAATTGGTGGCAGCGATGCTTGGCACTTGGCCAGAAATAAGCGGCGGGTTGGTCATAACCCCGCCTTGTGATGCAGAAGCTTGAGTGATGGCAGAACTAGTCGAGTTGGATCGCGCGGGTGAAGGAGGTGGCGGATTGACGAAAGAAGCAGCCCCAGGTGGTGAAGGCGCCGTAATGGAGCTCGTGGAGTCCCTATGGCGATGGTTGGCGCCGTTATGGAACGGCGATGGGGGCGAAAATACTCCCGAGGGATTGGGAATAGGCGTGTTCTGGTTCGATGAAGCTCCCCCAGAGGACACTGGATGTCGTGGGCCAATTTCTCCAGTATATGGTGCACCCAACTCTCCCGGCAAGAATGACAGTGTGGAACAGAACCCATCCGACGAAGATATGAGCAACGTCAAGCCGTCAGTCGACCTGTAACGTACGTTAGTATACAGAGGCTCAAAGGAGAAAAAGGGGTAGCTTACCAGGTGAGGTCCGTGAAAGTGGCGCAGTGCAAGTTGCTCACAACGCAGATAGGCGTATGTTGCTGGGTGTCGTATAGAAGCACCGAGTCTTGGGTGGCTACAGCATAGACCATCCTATATGGCAGCGCAAATGCCGACTTTGGTCCAGGACTCTGCACGGGGGCGTCCGATCCTGAAGCCGAGTTTTCGGTGGGCACAGGAGGTGGTGGTGGCTCCATCACTGACGGAGCTGTTGAGGGCTTCGCTAGTGGCTCAGGAAGTGAAGGTATCGGCTCCTCGGCCGATGAAGTATCAATGGTGATGTGCTTAGTGATGGGTGGCGACTGTCTCAGGGTGTAGATGATCGGGGAGCATCTAACGGCGACAGACGGCTTCTTGTGCCCGGGCAAATGGGCAATAGGCGGCTTGTTGATGCCACCCCGCGTGTATATGTAGACAGTGTTGATGACCTCGTACGAAGGTTTCACCCCATCCACCTGATGCTGAGTCTGATACTGACCGGCAGGTGTCAAAAGCAGACTGCCGTCAGGTGTGAAGGTGAGTCTCCGGAAAAAGGAAGTAAGAGTCTCATTGGCATACAAACTGGCATTCTTCATGCCCAGGCCGTAGCTCGAAGAATGCGGTTTAGGAGAAGCCTCAATAGGCATAACAGCTGGCAAAGGCATGGACGGTGCGGGTGAGACCGATCTCCTGGACGAGAACGAAGATCTCCGGCTGTGGCTGATGACACTGGGAGGGTTCATAGGCAGGGCCATCGAAGTGGGAGTACCTGGGATGGAAGGATTTGGGGATCCAGCAATAGCACTGGGATCCAAGGACGTAAAAGCGGACCGGTTACCGAACTCGGGCGGAGCTGGGCTGTGAGAAGATATCCTGCGAGGAGGGAGATCTGTTTTGGCGTGGCTGGCAATCTTTGGTGGCTTGTCATCGTGGTTGTTGGTGAGGGTATACTGGCCATCCTTTGTCCGGAGTGAGTAGACATGTACCGATCGATCGGAGGATTGTGTTGCGATGTACTCGTTCAGAGGATCCCACGTAACGCCCTGGACGTAATGGCTATGCTCGGCGATCTGGCGCACGAGGGTGCCCGTCGAAGCGTTATAGATACGCGCAACGTTGTCCATGCTGCCAATGATGAAAAAAGCAGCATCCGGGGACCAGGCAAGATCGTAGATTTCCGTGCCCAGGGACCGGCACATGTGCTTTGTCCTCCATGTTTCCTTGTCTTCGAGGCCTTCGTTTCCGAACGTCGCGTGATGAGTGTCTGATGGAACCCACAAGATGACATTGCCGTCGTCACCGGCAGAGGCAAGGAGTTCACCTGAAGAAAAAACGAGTTAGTACGCGAAGAGGCGAGCTAAGGATCTGGAGAGCCATAGGAGACAAAGGAAACGTACCTTTGGGAGCCCAGCGGACGACGTTGACTGCTTGTGTGTGTTTGGAAAGGGTTGCCAGGTACTCGACCCTGCGCTCCTCGCCATCCTCCTCTATTCTCCATAGCTGTAGTAGTTGTAACAATCAGTATGGGCCCAAAGACATGAACGCGAGGGCGGGGACAGGGAAGATTGCATACTCGAACATTGTTGTCTCCGGCGCCGGTAGCTAAGCGGCCCTTGCCTCCGGGTTCAAAATGGGCAGAATAGATAGGATACGGGTTATTTTCGTGGTGCCAGTTGATGATCAAGGGAGTGGCTTTCATTGTGGCATATAGTTGGCTAGAGCACAAGGCGGGTTGAAAGAAGGCTATGGACAAGAAAGTGGTGTTGAGAAAGGCGCAAAGTGTTGCCGGAGGAAGTAGAATTTATTTCAATCGGCAACGGCACCACTTGTCTGGGGAAGGTCTGGGGTTTCTGATCGGTCTGGGGTTCTGTGCCGTCGTTCGTTGGCTCGGCGATGGAATGCGTGTCGTGTCAAGTGCGGCAGCCGTGCAAGTGCCCTGCGCTGGGTGCTCGAAGATAGCAGGTCTAGCAGGTATAGCAGCTGCAGGTTGAGGCGGCTGATGCAGCTGAGGACACAGCAGGCAGCGATCAGAAGGCTTGGGTTTTCCGATGGGTGAGGAGCCCGGAAGCTCAATCGATTGATCTTTGGTCAACTCAACTGGTCGGAGAAATCAATTGCTGTGTTTCTGATGGATGAATTCGCGAGAGGACATGCAGATGTGGGAAAAGCAAGCTCTTTGGAAGAGAGAACTCGAGGTTTGGGGTGGTAAGGTAGGCGGAGGTGGGTGGAATAGCTCCCGTTGAGGTTGTTCCACGAGGCCTGTGCGGAGCTAGCTCAGGGCGTCGATATTGGTTGGATTGGATGTCAGCCAGTTGACCGGAACCTTATAAGAGCTTACCTCAGTGCTCAGAACGTCCTTCTTTAGCTTGTTATACTGATGGTCCGTGCTTTAAAAGGCTTACTGTAATTACTAGTATTTTGAATTAGACGCTTTTAAAGACGTTTGAGTTTACGATACGTACTTTTATAGGTAGGTGGTTTTGTTTTTGTAAAAAGTAGCAAATATCAAACCTATTAACAGCATCATATTTAGAATATAAATAATGAAATTTAGACTTGGAAGTAGTTTTCTTGTTCTTCTATCTCGGTATCCAATTTTTATTAAAGAGAAATAAAGTAAAGATTGTTTATGAAAACAAAAGATCCAAAAAATATAATAGTTATAGCTTAAAAAGCTAAGCGAGAGGCTTAAGAAATCAACTTCCCGTAAATCCATCTTAATAAAAATAGTATTAGAAGAAAAGAAGAAAGAAAAACTACCTTTGAAGATAGTTTTTATTCTCTGCATCCTAATTTATGACGTTGTTATTAGAAAGTGACTTTGATTATAGCATAACTACGTTTTTGTTAAGAGTTGCATCATGAACTCAGACCAGAAGAAGAAGTGAGTAATAAATATTAAAATTTACAGATTACTATAACCCCGACGGATGATCTGAGCGCTGAGATAAATAAGGGCATTCGACGCTAGTGTAAGTAACAAGCCCTGGCGGGACGGGACTGGGCAAAGAGGAAGCTAAATAGCTAATGCATGTCGGGTAGTCAAGGTAGTCGGCCTTGGCAGGCTCGGCAGGTACTTCTCCTAATGAGGAGCATTAAGTTGTCCGGAATTGATGCCATTCACAGCATGTCTGACGATGAAGCAAAAATAGCGAGCGGCAAAGAGCTCGGTTCAGGGAACTCAGGTTAAGATTTTTGATGGGGATTTGATTGGATTGACTGGGAAACAACGTGAATGGAAGGTACGACTAGAGCGCGGTGTAAAGTAGAGGTGAAGGGAGGAGCCTTCCTAATGACCTGAGTGCAGCAGCTGCATTGCACTTGCCCGACAGTTGACGCTGGCATTGACAAACCCGCCTTGAGGTTCTACCTAGCGAGCAGGAGTTGGACTGGCCCCACCTTGCACGATCCCTTTCACTTTGCGGGAAAGAGGAGGTGCACTGGCGGTCACCTGTCCATGTCATCGCGTCGAACAAATCGACAAGCTTTTCATACAAACCGAAAGAACCTGGAACTGTGTTCTGCCCGCTCTACTGAGGTATACCTACTCCTGCATGCCGCAATCAGCAAGTCTCGGCGGCCGCTCTGTACACACAAGACACGCTCCTGTCGACACTTGACGGCCTCAGGGCTGGCGTCTTCACTCTCAACCAATTAATGGTGATTGCTTTCTTCCGGCGCCGGGACACTGATCCCGAACCGTGACACTGTCATGGACGGGAGGCAAGGCCTGAGCGGATGATACCTCGACTGAGTTTTCAGGAATGAGCACACCAAGGACCGAGGCCAGAGGTCTGGGTGTTCAATTGATCTTGCCCCCAAAAGTCACACCAGATCTCGATCTTCCAGGGTCCAATCAACCAAGTGAGCACAACCCAATATGAGCTGAATAGCCCAATTCTGGAAAGAGCAAGAGATCCGCTTACAATTTCCAGTTCGTCCCTCATCTAGTTGAGCTGGGCTCATCGTGTCCGGTTCAGCTGCCTCCCTGAACTGGAAATCGAAATCAAGCTTCATTTGACAGCAAATGATAGATAGACATCAGTTCTTCTCCGAGGCCGGCTCTCAGATCGAAGTCGGCGACAACCAGCTTGTGGCACTGAGAGAAAAGCACATGGGCCCGGCGCTCTTTAAACAACCTGGATTCAACAGATGAGAATTCTGAAATCATCTATCATGGCTCGGGTTTTGGTGATCGTCATCGATCAAGAAACGACGAGTGTCCCGTCCAATCGCATCTGTTCCCAATCCTCCTAGTCATGGCGGTTCATATATCACCAGTCTGAGGGAATCAATATTGGGTTTAGGACGATACTGGTCCAAGTCCGAAGGTGGTGTCCGAGCTCGCTAACAGTTATCGTGTATATCTGCACACAAATCTGTTCGTGACCTTTAGTTCCCATCGGTCAGCCTAGCCCGTTGTCTCGTTGGTATTTCAACAACTTCTTCCAAGCACTCTCAGATCATCCACCGAAGGAAGCTAGAGGAAAGAACTTGAAAGAGACCGTGCGACCATCAGATACCCAAGCCGATGCTTCATAGAAAGCCACAAAGCATCCATTAGCAACCACAATCAATAAGAAGGCGGCGATGGTGAGGGGAGGACGTGCAAGAGTCACCGGCGAAGCAAAGAGGTTATCTATCCATCGTCTTACCACCTTACCGCCTTACCGCCTTGTTGAATGTCACTCTATGCTTATTCTTGCGGAGATAGTGTCACACCTAGAGCAGAGAGACTGCTCGGTCGTTAAGGTATGTCCCCCACATACACCTCCCCTTACACAGCGTTGTAGTGCATCTATGCTTTCACATTTCGAGCCAACATGGATCGCTGAGCTGATGCAATACCTAGCACGTTTGCTCTGGCTCAAATTTATGTATGGTTGAAGAGGCTGTCTTCCAGGATCATCGTTCGTTTTACTTGGAAACCAATATCGCATGCTGTCTGACTTGATAGCTTCACCAAGGTACTGTCGTAATCATATGTCTCGGCTTGTTTTGCCTCAACACCATGCGTTGTTTATCAGAGCATCACACTACAAGGAGCTTGATCAAGCTCAATGTTGGCACCACACTGTGAGCCAAACCATACGGGTCTGATGAGAGCCATGAGGAATGGTTTGTGGTGTTCCTTCGCCGCACGGCTCAGGGACCCGAGACAGTTATCTCATTGGTTTTCGTGCAAACGCCACGACGAATGGGTCTCGTGAGTTGCTGGCCATTTGGCGCAGTGAATATCATCCGCGCCTATTCGAGAAATTGGCGACAACTGCGGCAGTTGTCAGGTGTGGACACCGGAACTCCGAAGCTCAGGCAAGCGGAAAAACCGAAAAACATCACGGAAAGCCACTACTTACACATGGAAATCACGACAATCTTTGATACGAATAAAAGGCTTGGAGAGGTCTCAGGCGCTGTCGCACAGCTCTCCTAATCGACAACTCGGCCATGACCCTTCAAAGAGGATTCAGCATTGGCATCTTCCGCATACATATCTTCAGAATCACGGTTTCGGAAACTCTTACACATAAAAGCTTATTTCCGTAGATCACTCTTGTCTGTCGTTATAGACAACCTGGGCAAGCCTGTAAACATGTGAGCTGCCGGATATCCGCCAAGCCAAAAGTCAGAATGACAATGTCCAAGTTGCGCCGCATCGTTGCAGAATGGCGTATCGCAGCGGTACGTACCTAGCCAATTCTGCTAAGAAAATCAGGTGTCGTAGCATTTTCCGGTGGTTGAGGCTGTCTAAGTTTTGCCCCGACAGCAACAACCACGGCTGCATATCACTTTTGTGCTGAATGGGCCCTTTCTACATCTCGGACAGTAGTGGATGCAAGGTAAGTAAAATCCGGGGAGGCCTTGCTGCCTTGAGTGAGTCACATCAGATATCTCTCCTGCCTTTCTTGGTAGAGGGCAGGTTCGAGTCTAGACCAGGCTGGGCAATCCGTCCTCCTGTCAAGGTTGCGTTGAAGGCATGACGGGATGTACGGCGTAGCAGCATCTCTATTGTACATACACTATGTATGCAGTATGGATCCATGCGGTGTACCTACATCATCACTACAGTACATGGGTTCCCAGCGTGGGAGTAGGTAGAGGTGATTTGAATGGCCTATACACTACATGTAGTTCCCGGCTGTCAGCCTACCTATTCCCTTGTGAGTGCATGAGAATGTGACCGGCCGCCGGCCGTCCGCTCGTTATCTCACACCTCCTCTTCAGCCCAGGTTCTCGACATGTTCGCCATGTGAGTCAAGACAACAATTTCTTTTCTGTCTCCCACCCGAACGATGACGGATGGGATGAACCCATGCTGCTGGTTGCCGTTGCACGATTGTCTTACACTCAACACGCTGCGGGGTTCGTTGCATTCAGAAGGGCCGGGCGTGTCTCGATAATTCAGATACATACCCTTGTGCTGACAGAATGCAGGCCAACTCTTTTCAGATGAAAGTGTAAAAGTCGGGATTTGCTAAGTTTGTTCACACCTTAGTTTTGTTTGGGGTCAGCGCTTGTTGTGTCGTTGGCTGTCACTGAGTGTTGGCTTACACAAGCAGACAAGCCAGACGCTGAATCCTCCTGCCTTTTGTGTCCGAGTGGATACTATTTGATAGCGGATTAGGCCAATCTCCGTGCGTCAATTGGAGGATTCGCCGCTTTCAACTTTTTCTTCCACACGCCCTCCCTCCCTCTTGAGAAAGAGGTGTCTATCTAGATAGACGCGAAGTATCTTAAAGTATCCGACCCCCTTCACACTTTTTCTCGACTATCATTCTGTCTCTTTCTGCCTTTTTTTTCCTTCGTTCCTTTCCTCCTCTCACTAAGTTCTGGTGGATGGTTGAGAAGACCTCAACGCTGAGCTCAGGCCCGATTCCCTCAACTCGCCCCCATTCCGACAAAATTTCGCGAGTTTGGTTGTCGGTTTTTCTTTCACGCCGACATCAAAGAAGCGAGGGGCCTGGTGCGAGACACAACGCGCTCCAAAGATCCGGCCACAAAGCCTGTTGACCGTATCGCCAACCCGCCGCGCGTTATCGAAGATTTGTGTGATCTCGTACAAGAAAACAGAAAAAGAAAATAGACACAAAATCTAGCTGGCCATGTCACGCAATGAATCCCGTTTTGCAGTGGTCGTGACCGGCCTTGCCCTCGTTGGCCTCGGCTCTTTGCCTGCTGTGTCTGGGTTCATCCAACGGTTCAGAAAGCGCGAGGCACGACAGGATGTTCTTTACGAGGATGCCGACGGCAAGGCGACCGTCGAGTCGCAAAGAGCCTATTCGGCCAAGGTCCCAAAGGCGGTGATCTTGCTCTCTGCCGCTGCCGGCTTTGCCCTCTCTATCGCTATTGCACTGCTTTCGACAAATAAAAAGACCAGTTCGTTGCACGACTGGCTATCTACTGGAGCATGGGTATGGTCTTGTCCTCTGTTGTTGTTACGTTTGTTTATTTCGAGATTAGCTGACTTATTGGATTGTAGGGTGCATTACTCTTCCAGGCTATCACGATAGCCTCTTGCAGAAAGTCGGTGCAGGCCTTTGATCTCGGCATCTACTCGTTCCTGTCCTCCGCAGTGCTTAGTGCCATTTTGTTTGTCCAGGGTGCTGATGCTTCAGAGTCTCTCTGGGATCACAATCGCACCTTGTTTGTCCTCCGTGCCGTCGAGCTGGCATTGGCTGGATCCCTTGCAGTTTCAAGCTTGTCTATTCCAAGGAGACCCGAAGTTTATATCGATGGAGAAGCGGTTGATCGGATGTATACCGTGTCAGCGCTCAGTCGGTTCACATACGCCTGGCCTAGCCAGCTTCTGGATCTTGCGGTTAAGAAGAAGGATCTCGACATGACCGACCTCAACAGGCCCGACCACTTTTGCCGAGCTGCAGACACTTCGGCCGATTGGAAACGCCGTAACTATTGCCATAACCTTTGGCTGAACGTCATGCTCGCCCACAAGAAAGCCTTCTCCTTGCAGTGGGCTTTGACACTCTGCACGGCCTTTCTGAACTTCTCCCCCCAGTGGGTGATTTTGCAGCTCTTGCGCATTCTGGAGAATCCCCAGGTTGGGAGCAGCTATGGGTTTGGTGTCTGGTACTGGGTTTTCTTCCTCGGCGTGGCCATGATTGCTCAGTCCTGGGTGGAAGCCTACGTCTTCTGGCTCTCATGGTCCGAACTCGCCATCCCCATTCGCTCTCAGCTCTCTGCGCTCATATTTGAAAAGTCAATGCGGAAGAAGGATGTCAAGGGCGCCGGAAAGGCGAAGGAGAAGAAGGCTACCGAGGCAGGCGAGCCCCCCGTCGTTGGACCAACAGGAGAGGGAGCACCATCCGATGCGCCGCCAGCCGAGCCGGACGCTGAGGCCGAGGATGATTCCGACGAGCTCAAGAAGGGCAAGCAGAACACCGTGAACCTGATTGGTGTCGATGCCAAGCGTGTCTCGGACTTTTCTACCTACCAGAATATGTTCCCTGGCAGTCTCTTCAAGCTCATTGTTTCGCTGACCTTCTTAACCAACCTTCTGGGTTGGAAGGCTCTTTTGGCGGGCTTCTCTGCCATGGTTGCCATCATGCCAGTGAACATCCGCTTCTCCAAGAAATATTCCGCCGCTCAGGACAAACTGATGAAGGTCAGAGACGAGAAGATGGCCGTTGTTACCGAAGCTCTCCAGGGTATCAGACAGATCAAGTTCTCCGCTTTGGAGCCCGAATGGGAAAACAAAATCGGCTCAGTCCGAGACAAGGAACTTGGTGCCGTCTGGAGTGTGTTCATGGCCGACACGGCCCTCCTTGCCTGCTGGGTCACCAGTCCTATCTTGCTTTCGGCTATTTCTTTGGCCGTCTATGCCGCATTGAATGGTGTCTTGACCCCGTCCGTCGCCTTCGTCAGTCTAGGTGTCTTTAGAGGTCTCGAAGTAACGCTGTCGGTCATTCCTGAGCTTACAACCGATTTGCTAGACGC